CCGTAATAAAAAAAATGCATCAGCTAGTCCAAGACGAAGAATTGTTGCTGAAGACGATGGCGACGAAGATACATCCATTTCTCGATCAGGTCGAAAAGGGAGAAAATGGAGTAAAGCTAGTAGGAAGGCTGTAAGACTCCAAGCTGCAAAAGACGCAGCACCTGTCAAAGCTGAAATCTTAGAGGTAGAGGAAGAAGGCATGTCCATCGAGGATTTGGCTTACAACCTAGCCATCGGAGAAGGTGACATCCTCGGGTACCTATATTCAAAAGGGATTAGACCTGATGGTGTGCAGACCTTGGACCGCGAGATGGTGAAGATGATTTGTAGAGATTACGATGTTGAGGTCCTTGATGCTGATTCAGTTAAAGTAGAAGAGATGGCAAAGAAAAGGCAAACTTTTGATGAAGAAGATTTGGACAAGTTAGAGGACAGACCTCCAGTCATAACGATAATGGGTCATGTGGACCATGGAAAGGTAGGCTTTGCATTACTGTTTTTTTTTTCATGTCCTATCGCCCTTAAAAGGATATGTAGAGTCCTATTTTTTAGCAGCAGGTTGTTCCTAATGCGTTTGCTGCCTATTTTGCAGACCACTCTTCTGGACTATATCAGAAAAAGCAAGGTATGGATGAGATTAGCTATTAATTTGCCTTTTATTTATCTAGAAATTTCATTGTGGCCTCTTCAGTTCTTTATTATTTCTAAAGCATGGCTAGTGACAATTAATGTTTGTTAATTTGCTTATTGTCAAGGTTAGTGCTAAGTAGCGTTTTCAGCTAATCTCCCTTTGCTGGATACATGCAGGTTGCTGCGTCAGAAGCAGGAGGAATTACACAAGGAATTGGTGCATATAAGGTGTCAGTGCCTGTTGATGGAAAGTTGCAGTCCTGCGTTTTCCTTGATACTCCTGGACATGAGGTAGATCCTTTTTCTTGCAATTGAATCTTCGCATGTTCATTTCTGATACTGATATTTCATTGATTATACTTCCTGAGCTTTCTTACATGTAGCATGTTTCTTGACTATCTCACATCTATTGCTAGGCATACCATAGTTTTACTCATCTTACTTTTATATGCTCATCTAGGCATTTGGTGCAATGAGAGCTCGCGGAGCACGGGTCACTGACATTGCAATCATTGTGGTTGCTGCTGATGATGGAATTCGTCCTCAAACAAATGAAGCAATAGCTCACGCAAAGGCTGCTGCTGTACCAATAGTCATAGCTATAAATAAGGTATTTTGTTATTCTTCTTTACCTTGTGTATATGTAAGTTTCTCCTAGTCTGATTCATTTTATGTTCCAGATAGATAAAGAAGGAGCTAGTCCAGAGAGAGTGATGCAAGAGCTTTCTTCAATTGGTTTGATGCCTGAAGATTGGGGTGGTGATGTTCCAATGGTTCAGGTTGGAATACATACTTTCATCACGTATATGTTTCAGGGTCCATATGTTCCATGGGTTCTCATATCATGCTCTATATTTGCCTTTGACAGATAAGTGCGTTGAAAGGGGAGAATATCGATGATCTGTTGGAAACTGTCATGCTTGTTGCAGAGGTTAGTTTGTTATTCATTCCATGATAACAGGTTTGCTTGATTTTTCCTTTTCTCTTTTCGGTAGATGCATAATGAAGCTTAATTTGTTTTCTTCATGTAAGTACTACATAGTGGCTACGAAATGGCTTACATACTTGCTCCAAAGTCGGCCCAAAATCTTGTTTTAAGGAGGGCTATAGACTAATAACACTTAAATAAATTCATTTTTTTTCTCCCACTTTCTGCTTTTGCTTCTCAATTAGCTTTTGCTTGTGGGCTGACTGTATTTTTTTGGCTGTTTCAGCTGCAAGAGTTGAAAGCAAATCCACACAGAAATGCCAAGGGCATTGTTATCGAGGCTGGACTTGATAAAGCAAAAGGACCATTTGCGACATTCATTGTTCAGAAGGGGACTTTGAAAAGAGGGGATGTTGTTGTTTGCGGAGAAGCTTTCGGAAAGGTCTAACCAAAATTTGGTTTTTCCTCAAGTCACATTGTGCAGATGATATATAATCGCTAAACACTTACCTACTTTGGTCTTGCTCTGTTTCTGTGTTTAGGTACGAGCTTTATTTGATCACAGTGGGGAACGAGTTGATGAAGCTGGACCCTCCATACCTGTACAGGTTTGTAGTTTCATAATCTATCCTAAGTTAAACGTCATAGCACACTTACTAATAGAAATACTCTATGCAGGTCATGTTTATTTTCTTGGTGACAGAATTTTGATACTATGTTCTCATGTGTGGATTGATTTAGATATCTAATTTGAGGATCTAAATTACATTTTCAGGTGATTGGTTTAAATAATGTCCCCATTGCTGGTGACGAATTTGAGATTGTCTCTTCCCTTGATGTGGCGCGTGAGATGGCAGAGGCACGTGCAGTATCACTACGAGATGAAAGAATATCTGCAAAGGCTGGGGATGGAAAGGTCACGCTTTCCTCCTTAGCTTCTGCTGTATCAGCGAAAAAGATGTCAGGCTTAGATTTGCATCAGCTTAATATCATCTTGAAGGTCGATGTACAGGTAAAGAGTCACTTTTGTTTCATCCGCTCATCCCCTTAACATTTTGGTTTCCTCTGTCTCTTCTTATTTATGCTGATGCAAATCATCAATGTGACTACTAGGGATCCATTGAAGCTGTCAGACAAGCCCTGCAAGTCCTCCCTCAGGAGAATGTCACCTTGAAATTCTTGCTACAAGCGACAGGGGATGTGAGCAACAGTGATGTTGATCTAGCATCAGCGAGTGAAGCCATCATTTTTGGATTTAATGTCAAAGCGTCTGGTTCTGTTAAGAAAGCTGCAGAAAACAAAGGTGTTGAAATCCGACTATATAGAGTTATATATGAGCTTATTGACGATGTACGAAACGCAATGGAAGGACTTCTTGAGTCTGTTGAGGTTAGCATTGATTTCTTAAGCAATTTGAAGCGTTTTGTTGGTGTCTAATCTGATCAACATGCCTCTTTAGAGTTACACATGATGAGATCTCTGTTTTGTCTTCTTTCCACATGAGTTGGCATAACAACTGTCTTTTTTTTTTTGGTTGAATAATTGAATTGCCTGAAAAGTAAATCTCTGTATCATGTCATAGATTATCATAAAACGTAGGTTTTAGTCTCGCTTCATGAGCCTTTTTGGAGTTTTGTAAACTGAAGATTCATGTGGCTGTTGATACTTGATAGGAACAAATCCCAATTGGCTCAGCAGAAGTTCGGGCAACTTTCAGCAGTGGAAGTGGCCGTGTGGCTGGATGCATGGTGAATGAAGGGAAATTTGTCAAAGATTGTGGCATCAGGGTGGTCCGGAAGGGTAAAACTGTCCACGTCGGTGTCCTTGATTCTCTTAAACGAGTCAAAGAAAACGTGAAAGAGGTAAACCATCAACTTCCATCTTACACGCTTAGAACATGGAAGGAGAAGTAGAGTCATCCTAAACTATCAACTTCCATTTTACACACTGAGATATGTCCAAATACTGTATAAACCAAATCTTGGCTTATCAACGTTTTCAACTTTCTTACTTGGTAGGTGAGTGCTGGATTAGAATGTGGTATCGGTATGGATGACTACGATGATTGGATAGAAGGAGACATCATCGAGGCCTTTAATGCAGTTCAAAAGAGGCGAACACTAGAAGAAGCATCAGCTTCAATGTCTGCTGCGATTGAAGAGGCTGGAGTTTAATTGTGATCCAGGTTTTGCTTCTAAAGTCGTCAAAGAAACTCAAGCAAACAACAAAATCAGACTCTCAGGGTCAGATTTGGGTCACACAACAGTTTGGTTGGCACATTGTTTGTAATGGGCTCATTTTGTACATGGCAAATGTTTCTCTACATTTGGTTGATTGATGTAGGAAAGAAAAATAGACCCAAATATAACAACATTATCTTGAAAAGAAAAAATCCTTATTTATAATGTCTATAAATTCATTGCTTTATTTTTTTTTTGGTAGGAGTAAATTCATTGCTTATTGTGTTGTATACTATTGGCCTATTGGGTTTCAGGCAAAGCCTTATACATGTTTCATTGATATGTCATGTGGAAGCTCATATCTGTTAAAAAGACCCAAATATAACAACAATGTTCCAGGCAAAGCCTTATAAATCGATAATGCCTGTTAAAAAGAGCGTAGTAAAGAAGAGGTTTCAAATCATAGTAAATTTCTTAAATTTCACCCAAAATCTCCAAAATAATTTAAAAACTTACAAAAGCTCATTCAACATATTTAGTTGAATATGCCTTCTTAATTTTGAAGAAAATATGCTTGTAATTAAAGATGAGAGATAGATAGATATTGAGATGAGAAAGGGGTAAAAGTGTTAAGAACATCGCTTTAGTGGCAATTTACCAGACAACAAGATGGGCGCGAAAAAGACAGCAATGACTTCCACTTGTGTGTGTGTGTGCGTGGCTCTTTAACGGTCAACGATAAAAATCATGAGCTCACAGACTCCAACGCTCTCTCACACCCATCACCAAAGAAATTAAAGCAAACAATACACTTTAAAGATCATTGTCCTGAATCATCCATCCTTTTTCACGTGTCGTCTTCATCAAATCCTCACCGTCCCAACAAACAAGATCCTCTGTTTTCTTCTATTGACAACCCAGAGAAACACTACAAAGTATCCCAACATTTTTATTCAATGGATCTGTACTACAAACCCTCACGTGATTTGAAACCACTTGCAGCTCAAAAATATGGTGAACCAAGTCGGAGAAAGAGACGATGTCGTCGACAAAGAGAATTAAAACAGAGTTGACTTCTTGCAGAGACAGAGAGAGACATTTCCAAAGTGTTTTGCAGATAGTCTTTCTTGATCAATCAAAGTCAGTCTTTTTTGCCCATCTCAATCTAATCTTTTTACCTTTTAACCAAAACCATTTCGTGACTGCCTAAATCGACGTTTCGTTTCGCCATTCTTTTTGTTTTTTTTTTCCATGTGTTCAGCGATCATTCTGTGTTCTTACCAAAGCTAACTTGTAAAAATGAGAGTGAGGATATGTTTCTTGGCAATAGTGATTCTCTGTTCTTTCTCCTTCATCTTAGTAAGATCCTTAAACGAAGAAGGGCGTGTTCTTCTGGAGTTTAAAGCTTTGCTTAATGACTCCAATGGCTATCTCGCAAGCTGGAATCAGTTGGATTCAAATCCATGCAACTGGACCGGAATCGCGTGTACCCGTCTCAGAACTGTAACTTCTGTTGATCTAAATGGGATGAATCTATCAGGTACACTATCTCCTCTCATATGCAAGCTTCATGGTTTAAGGAAATTGAATGTCTCCACCAACTTCATCTCTGGTCCAATCCCTCGAGATTTATCTCTCTGTCGAAGTCTAGAGGTTCTTGATCTCTGCACAAATAGGTTCCATGGAGTGATACCAATTCAGCTAACCATGATCATCACTCTTAAGAAGCTGTATCTATGCGAGAATTATCTTTTCGGTTCAATCCCTAGACAAATCGGTAGTTTGAGTTCGCTTCAAGAGCTTGTGATCTACAGCAACAATCTCACCGGTCTAATCCCTCCTTCCACGGGGAAATTGAGACAGCTCCGGATCATTAGGGCAGGACGGAATGCATTCTCAGGTGTGATTCCGCCTGAAATCAGCGGATGCGAGAGCCTAAAGGTACTTGGATTAGCAGAGAATCTTCTTGAGGGTTCTCTTCCTAAGCAGCTCGAGAAGCTTCAAAATCTTACTGATTTGATACTCTGGCAAAACCGTCTATCCGGTGAGATACCTCCTTCAGTAGGAAACATCACCAGACTGGAGGTGCTTGCGCTGCACGAAAACTACTTCACGGGATCAATTCCAAGAGAGATTGGGAAGCTCACAAAGATGAAAAGGCTGTACCTTTACACAAACCAGTTAACCGGAGAGATACCTCGTGAAATAGGCAACTTGACAGATGCAGCTGAGATAGATTTTTCGGAGAATCAGTTAACAGGTTTCATCCCAAAAGAGTTTGGTCAGATCCTGAATCTAAAACTACTTCATCTTTTTGAGAACATTCTTCTAGGTCCAATTCCCAGGGAGCTTGGGGAATTGACACTGTTGGAGAAGCTAGATTTGTCTATCAATAGACTAAATGGTACTATCCCGCGAGAGCTTCAGTTCCTAACTTACCTTGTAGATTTGCAGCTTTTTGACAACCAGCTTGAAGGGACGATACCTCCTCTAATCGGTTTCTATAGCAATTTTTCTGTTCTTGACATGTCTGCCAATTCTCTGTCTGGTCCAATTCCTGCCCACTTCTGCAGATTTCAGACGCTAATACTTCTGAGTGTTGGTTCAAACAAGTTATCAGGAAACATTCCTCGTGATCTGAAAACCTGCAAGTCACTGACAAAGCTAATGCTAGGTGATAACTGGCTAACAGGAAGCCTTCCCGCTGAATTATTTAATCTTCAGAACCTTACTGCATTAGAGCTTCACCAAAACTGGTTATCAGGGTATATATCTGCAGACCTGGGAAAGCTGAAGAATTTAGAAAGACTGCGTCTAGCTAACAACAATTTTACTGGTGAAATTCCTCCTGAGATTGGGAATCTCACAAAGATTGTTGGCTTAAACATCTCCTCCAATCAGCTCACTGGTCACATCCCTAAAGAATTGGGGAGTTGTGTCACTATCCAGAGGCTTGACCTTAGTGGCAACAGGTTTTCCGGGTACATACCACAAGATCTTGGTCAGTTGGTGAATTTGGAGATTTTAAGATTGTCTGATAATAGATTGACCGGAGAAATTCCTCATAGCTTTGGAGATCTAACTCGGCTCATGGAGTTACAACTAGGAGGCAATCTCTTGTCTGAAAACATCCCAGTGGAGCTCGGAAAGTTAACCTCTCTGCAAATCTCCCTCAACATTAGTCACAATAATCTCTCAGGTACGATTCCAGACAGTTTAGGAAATCTACAAATGTTGGAGATACTTTACCTCAACGACAACAAGCTCTCAGGTGAGATCCCTGCATCAATTGGGAATCTCATGAGCCTCCTCATCTGCAATGTCTCAAACAATAACTTGGTCGGAACAGTACCAGACACAGCCGTGTTCCAGCGGATGGATTCATCAAACTTTGCTGGAAACCACCGTCTGTGTAACTCTCAGAGAAGCCACTGCCAACCACTTGTCCCACATTCTGATTCGAAGCTAAGTTGGTTAGTCAATGGTTCGCAGAGGCAAAAGATCTTGACAATCACTTGTATGGTAATCGGCTCGGTTTTTCTTATCACTTTTCTTGCTATCTGTTGGGCAATAAAGCGGCGGGAACCAGCGTTTGTTGCACTTGAGGATCAAACAAAACCAGATGTCATGGACAGCTACTATTTCCCTAAAAAAGGTTTCACATATCAAGGCCTTGTGGATGCAACCAGAAACTTTTCCGAAGACGTGCTTTTAGGGAGAGGAGCGTGTGGAACGGTCTACAAAGCTGAAATGTCAGATGGCGAGGTGATAGCTGTAAAGAAGCTAAATTCTCGCGGCGAAGGAGCTAGTTCTGATAATAGCTTCAGAGCTGAAATATCAACACTTGGAAAGATAAGGCACCGGAATATTGTGAAGCTATATGGTTTCTGCTATCACCAGAACTCAAATCTTCTCTTGTATGAGTACATGTCAAAAGGAAGCCTCGGTGAACAACTACAGCGAGGTGAGAAAAACTGCTTGTTGGATTGGAATGCTCGGTACAGAATCGCCCTCGGTGCTGCAGAGGGTCTGTGTTATCTCCATCATGATTGCAGACCTCAAATAGTTCATCGCGACATAAAATCGAACAACATTCTTCTTGATGAACTGTTCCAGGCTCATGTTGGAGATTTTGGCCTGGCTAAGTTGATTGATCTCTCTTACTCAAAGTCCATGTCAGCTGTTGCTGGGTCTTACGGATACATCGCTCCAGGTGAGTAAAACATCACAGGTTTCTTTCTCCCAGACTCGCTTATCTGACATATCTGATTGGTGTTTTGTTGGGTTTCAGAATATGCTTACACGATGAAGGTGACAGAGAAATGCGATATCTATAGCTTTGGAGTTGTGCTTCTGGAGCTAATAACAGGAAAGCCACCAGTTCAACCGCTGGAGCAAGGAGGGGATCTAGTCAATTGGGTTAGAAGATCAATCCGTAACATGGTTCCAACCATTGAAATGTTTGATGCGAGGCTAGATACGAATGATAAGAGAACAATTCATGAGATGTCTCTAGTCCTAAAAATTGCACTGTTCTGCACCAGCAATTCTCCAGCTAGTAGACCAACAATGAGAGAAGTTGTCGCTATGATTACAGAAGCTCGGGGATCAAGTAGCCTCTCTACCTCATCCATTACATCAGAAACTCCTCTAGAAGAAGCAAACTCCTCCAAAGGTATGAATCCACACACGCACACACACTTCTCTGAAATTTCCGAACTTAAACTGATTCTCATTTCTTGCTATTCTGCAGAAATTGACTTTGTCGCATCACCTTGAAGTCAGCAAATAAATCCAGTTCAGTCCATACAGTGGAAAATAGAAATGTTGACTTGAGTCTCTAATGATATCTGCAGTTATTACATAAACCAACACATTGTTCAGAAACATTGCAGAACATGTAAAGCACTGTTTTAACTATTTTGCAAAAGAACAAAACAGAGTCCAGGAACTAGATAACAGCTAAAATCTTTCTCTCTTGACATAAATTCTGATGTAAGTGTAATAATCAATGGGGATTTAGAGGAAATCCATAAACGTATCTTCCTAGAAACTTCTTGGCTCTGATAAACTTGTTGACATACATTGAACATAAACAAGCTTACTTCTCCAACAAACTAGAAAACACAAGAAACGAAGGAAAAAAAAAAGACAAAACTTGAAACCAAAGTTAAGTGTTGATTTTTTGCTCAAACAAAATCTTCTGTATCGATAGAATAAAAGTGAGAAAATGTGTTTAATACTCCATAGTTGTACGGCGAGATTACCTCACGCGCAAAATCTTCAAATTGAGCTAAACAGGACCAAGTTCAGGCTTCCTTCAAATCCCAATGAAAAAAAAAGAAACCGATATTGATTAAATTGGTCTCTGAGAAGCCAATGCATATAAATAGAAGAGGTCTTCATTGGATTCGAAACCAATTAAACCCAACATGGGTGGATTTTTGGCAAAGAAGAACTCTAATTCCAAAATCAGGAACAGCTTCACTTCGAAATGCTCTTCTCTGATAAAACAACAACATGCTCGTCTCTGTATAATCCGCCTCTGCGCCACGATGCTCCTCCGCTCGTACACAGATCACGACGATTGCGAATAAGTAGTTACCAGAAGATTAAACTTAATTATGTTAACTAATAATGTTTTTCGTCCATCTCTGATTCGTCTAGTGGATCGGGTGTCTTTTGGGCCTTTGGGCCTCTTTCCTCTCTTAACGGATTTGGGTTTTTAGATACAGCGACTGATTAAGGGTATCTTTATCAATGTTCCGCCGGAGAGGAATTTCACGGCGTCAGTTCTTACATTTTTCCGGCCAGTCCGGATTTTTATGTCTCTATTTTTTTTTAGTGTTCTGTTCAATTGGTGGTTAGTGCTTGTAATAATGATGTAATAAGAGGGTGTAATCTTGTGTAACTAACGCTAAGCAATGTTCATTTTTTTGGGTTGGACCCAAATTCGTAACATAAGATATTAATCCAATTATTTGCAAAGATAAAGAAATTGAGGTCTCATACTGTAAATATATGAGCAAACAATCGCAGTACGGCAGTAGTATGAAGCTGCATTAGCCTTGTTCTTCCTCTGGGAATACGATTACTGATTGGTGAAAGCCCTAAATTCAATTTCTCATTTCCAGATACGATATGCCTCCAGGTTTTTCTCTTAGCTATTTTCTTTTGTAATTGTGGCTTTTTTTTGTTAATCTGTTCATATCTTTTTTTTTTTTTTAATGTAATGTTAAATTAAATTCAAAAGAAAAATAACGTTTTTACATCAAGTGCAATGGTGGTTTGAAAAAATTTAAAACATTAGAACCGAGAGTTTTAGAAAAAGTCAGCTTCTCAAAGCAAACCAAGTTTGAAGTCCTTTATCATATCGCCTATCTCCAATTGCTCGAATGGATGATAGTTGATTCCGAAGTTGCTTATCGATCCATGTGATTAGAAGAGTTGCGGAATTCGGCTTCTCCCCATGATTTCTTCCGTTTCTCTCCCGCCAAATGGTGTTTGTCGTTGCTTGAAAGAGATACCTCACAATGAAACTTTCGATTCGTGTCTTCCAATTACCAGAGATGGAAATGATCAGATCATGCCAGTTCGTGGAGTACCTTGTGCCATAGACGTTCTTTGCTAATTCATGCCAAATTGCAGAAGCAAAATCACATGTAAAAAATAAATGGTCCCTTGTTTCTAGCGCGTTGTTGCAGAGTACACAAGCTGCGGACTGTCCTCTGTTCCAGTTATTAGGACATAATGTCCCACATCGGAAGTTGGAAGGGATCCTAAGTAATATATAAAGGGATATGGGCCACTCCACTCATTGCCAATTGGTTTTGAGTTGGAAGCCCATAGAACTTAACATGGTAGCAGAGCCCGATCCACACATGTCCAACCCGATCCGACCCAAAGATGGTCCAATCATCGACAAGGCCCAAAATTGATGCCGTCGATCTAAGCCCGAATATTCCGAGATTAATGGCCAAAGAGCCATCATCTCGAGGGGGCGTATTAGGACATAATGTCCCACATCGGAAGTTGGAAGGGATCCTAAGTAATATATAAAGGGATATGGGCCACTCCACTCATTGCCAATTGGTTTTGAGTTGGAAGCCCATAGAACTTAACACCAGTGACTCATGCGGTCTGCTGTTGAGAGTCGATTTAGAGCAGCTAACCAGACGCAGAAAGAGAATTTAGGCGTTTAATCTGTTCATATCGTTTTGGTCTTTTATCGTATCTTTCCTTAATTTGCACTCTGATGAGTGATGATGGAAGAAGTTGTTGTCGTGGCTCTAGGATCCAAGTGCTGCACTATCCCCAATTAGTGTCCATGATCAAATCGACTGTTTTGAGAGAAATTTGTTACTACCAAACAACAGTGCCTGTTTTTCTTTTTGTACAAAAGAATTGAAATATTTGACAATAGAGTGCTAGTTTCCACTAAGCCCAGATAAAACATATGATTTACATTAAACCCACCAGGCACGCACCACTAAGATGGAAATAAAGCTAATAAAGTATCCAATGGCAATCCCCACAAGAAATGTTCTGTTTAACTCATCGTTTCCCGTGGTTGTATCAGGTGTGCAAGAAGTCAGCAGTACACCACCGCACAACAAGGGGTTTCCTTCAAAATATGCTTTTGGAAATGTATCAAACTGACCTCCTCTGGGAATTGGCCCTTCCAGACTGTTGTTCGCCACGTTGAAATAAGACATGAAACTGAGGCTTGTTAACGACCAAGGGATTCTACCGGATAAATAGTTGTTGGAGAGGTCCATCTTCTCTATGTTGGTGAGGTTTGACAGTTCATATGGGATGCTGCCAGATAAATTGTTACTATGAAGCTCGAGGATATGAAGAACCTTTAACTGGCCAACCTCGACTGGTATACTCCCTGTCAGGTTATTCCTTCTCATGTAAATCGTAGGTGGGAAACTGGACAGCTGATTGTATTGCTGATTGGTGGTAACATTAGTGGGCTTGAGAAAAACAGGCAGCTCTAGATAGTTCTTTTCTGTTGCGTCGTAGGCCTTTTGGGACATCAGGGCCCTTAGTTGAAAGATCTCCTTTGGCAGCTCTCCTGTAAGTAGGTTATCTGAAATATCCAAGTAGAAAAGGACTGGAAGAGTTCCTAACCAACCGGGAATTGACCCCACGAATTGGTTCATTGACAGATCCATAACTTCTACCTTCTTGAGATTGATCAGCCAAGCTGGTATTTCACCTTTCAATCTACATGCACCTACGCCAAATATGCGGAGTTTGGGGAATCCATCTGGGGCAAGAAAGTCTTCTTTGCTTGGAACTGTTTCATCGTAGAAATTCTTTGCCATGATTAGAGTGGACAACTTCCTGCAGCCCTGTAGAATGCTGAGAGCCCCTGTAATGTTCGTCAGTTTATTGTCTGACAAAGACATGAACGACAGGGACTCAAGTCCCAACACTTGAGGAGACATCTGTCCCGTTAACTTGTTGCCTGCAAATCTGATCGCCGTGAGCGATTTGCAGGAGAAAATATTATCAGGGAGATTACCTGTGAAGCTATTGTTGCCGAGATCAAGAACCCTAAGACTCTGCAACTGGGAAAACTCGAGCTCTGTTAAGCTTCCTCCCAGCCGATTGACCCTCAAATTCAACTTGACGAGGTTAGTACAATTTGCAAGAGAAAGCGGGACTGTACCGGTGATGTTATTGATATGGAGTTGAAGGCTACGCAGGCTGGAGAGGTTACCTATGTCCATTGGTATTTCTCCTTCAAGGTGGTTGGAGTAAAGCTCAAGCAACGTTAGTTTCCTGAGCTGGGTGATGTTATTATCGATTTTTCCGGTAAGCTGATTGGCTGGCAGAAAGAGTTGCTCGAGCTCGGAAAGATTGTAGATTTCACTTGGTATTTCACCAGAGAGATTGTTGAAGCCTGCTTGTAGAACAGTTAGCCTCAAACATCTGCCTAATTCTTGGGAGATATGGCCGCTAAAATCATTATAAGTGAAATCCAGTTTGCTGAGCTGCGGTGAACTCCTGCACATGAATGAAGGGATTGGACCTGTGAAGCTGTTGTTACTAACGTTGAAACTGATTAAATTGATAGCTCCCTGGATAGCGATAGAATTACTGAGGATTTCTCCTTGGAGGAGATTGCTTGACAGATCAATGGTATGGACTGGGAAGAATCTGTTACTTCCATCTCCAAATGCTTGTTCAAGTGGCAGCTCACCATTGAAGCTATTGTAACTAAGATTAAGAACCATGAGCTGATCAAGGGTCGAGAAAAAACCTGGTGGGAGAGGACCCGAGAGACGGTTATGAGAAAGATCGAGATGAGAGAGACGGTGAATGTTCTGAACAGACGAAGCGAGAGTGCCAGAGAGTCCTCTAAAGGGCAAGGAAATCATAGTGACGTGACTATCTGATGAATCATCGCAGGTAATTCCCTCCCAGGAACAACAATCAATGGACAAATTCCAATTCAAAAGAGAAACAGAAGAAGAAACATTGCCGGAAAACCACATGAGAGATTCTCGGTCTTGTAGGTTACAGACAGCTTCTGAAAGTGTAATAAAGAGAGCAGATAGGAAAAGAAGACAGAGGAGGAAGAGATGCATGTGAGAACTCAGAGGCTGTACAGGTTTTGTGATTAATGGTCTCACAAGACCTTTGGCTTTGGATCTCATTTCCTTATCTATCATAGCGAGGAGAAGAACAATACAGAGAAGAAGAAGGGAAACAGAAAACTTCTTGTCGATACAGAGGTGACCAAGGGAAATAGTCAGCCCAAGAGAAAACTTCTTGTGTGATCTTGTCAATACCATCGTTGGCCAAGGCAATTTAATCAGTCAGTAGCTTCATTTCTATTTTGTTTCTTACTCCCTTTGACTTAGTTTATTATAACATTGTTAATTTTATGTTCTGTGTTTTGTTTATGGCAGGATTTGTGTTTAAGTTGACTCGAACCCAGTGTTCACTTAAATCTATGAATTTTCTAACAATATAAGAGCATCATTATAGGTGGTTTCTTAGAGATAGATCTTAGTAATATTTAAATAATTTATTTGTAAAAGTGATTGTTAAGAGATAGTATTTTTGAGTTAAGATTTTTGTGTGATTAATGGTAGGCTCTTAACATGTGGTTCTTAGAAAAAAAATATTAATATAAAAATAAGATTTATAATTATAGAAAATTTAATAATTGTTGCAAATTAAAAAAATTAAAACATACATGAGATACAATTTATAACATACATGACATAATTTTTTAACATATATGATGTATTGGAGCAAAGTAATTGGTGTTTGGTATATTTGGTGTAATTGGTGTTTGGAGAGTTCATAATCACATCAACAACTTCTCAAATGCAAAACAAAGATTCATAATCACATTTTGCCTTGCCTATTAGCTTACAATTTTGCCTTGCCTATAAACGTAAGATACTATCTATTTTAGTACAATAATCCATAATTGAAAATGTCCCACAGAATTTAATAAAAATGAGAGCATTTTTTCATAATTTCATAAACAAGAGTAATCTTTATACACTGAGAGTTTAAAAATGGTGTAATGGTATTCTATTAACAAAACAAAGAATCAAAATCTCAAAATGGTGTAATGGCGACTGTGATCCAACAAAGGAAAGCTAAAGCTACAGAGAGTTAGTATTTCCAACACTCTGCTTCAAAACTGCAGCTTCTTAAATCGCCAAAATACAAAATGATTAGCATTTTGATGATGCTCCTGCTAATGACAATGTCGATGTTACCTAAACCCGAAAATACAAAATGATTAGCATTTTGATGATCTTTGTTTGATTTACTAGAGAGGAGAGACAGACAGAGAGAGGGTCTACTCTTACCCAATCTCCAACTACAAATAGGCTGACTAAAACCGGACTAAGAAGCGTTTTCTTTCTCACTAAGGCGAATGTGTCTAGTATAGCAAGACCGAAACTCCATATGACTTGCAAACCCATTGCTGCTATTAGATAGCTGCAACCAAATCTTCCAATTGTAAGATCATATAGGCGATAACAAACACGCGAAAAGACCTCTACATATGCTTGAGAATGAATGCTAAATTGTCACAGAATCAAAGATTTCACATATCAGATGTTTTCAAGATCTTTGCACTTCAAATAACAAAAGAACCACAATCATGAAGCAATACACAACTATCCTAGATCGATCCACAATCATGAAGCAATACACAAATAAAGCCACACTTGTCTAAAACTCACTCAAAATTGCTTCAAAATCCTAAACACTAAAATCCAGAGGTAACAAAAAGAGTTCAGATTCTGACACAACTTTCTCGGGATTGGATCTATACGATTCATCTAAAACTCCACACTAATCCAAGAACTCAATATCTTAAACTCTAATCAAACAGAACAAAAAAAAAGGTGACTTTACCAGAAAGCAGTGAAGCTGAAGAATCCACCAGAAGTAACCATATAAGAAATCGAACCAGCAGCAAAAACCAGCAACAGAAAAAGAGAGACAAATGAATTTAGGGATTTACCAAGTCGGAGTGTGGAGGGAGATCCGGTGACTTTCTCCCCGATTTCGCAACCCAACCTCGCTGGGTTGGTGAACCGAAGACGCCGTGAACAACCGGAGTCGGTGGAGATGATGGCCAAACGGAAGAACGACGGCCAGCGGTCGGAGATTCCTCCGATTCAAGTTGAAATTCGTAGTAGATTGTAGAGAGATCTTATATCATATCATATGTTTATGTATTAATGATGATCAAAAGATAATCTCACAAAAACAAAATCAAAATCATCTGATAGGAAAATTGTATGACTTTATATTCAAAATTTAAAAGATATCAAATGGAAAAAAAATAAAAATTAAATACGTTAAACTGAAAATTAGTTTTTAATTAAACAACAAAACTGAGAGTTATCGTTTTAGATTTTTAATTATTGAGTAAATATAATGGGACGGGTTAGAGAGGGAGTGACCGTTAGGTGGAGAAGTGAGCTCAACAACACTTCACTCACTGCTTCTTCTTCGTCTTTCGCATCTACTGTTCCATTAATGGCGGTACCAATTGCGACTTGCAGGAGAATCTACTCTTCCCCAAGCTCTATCAACTGGTCAGCCATGGTATGGTGGTTTCAATTTCATTATTTGTGGACCCTTTTTAAAGATTCCTGTTTCGCTTCTGTTCCTGGATTATTCTTCTCCTCCCAGCCGACGAGATAAGCAGCTTCGTTCGCGCCATCATATAGGATCCTGGTGAGTCCTTCGATCACAATGATGGACCATTGGTCGCAACCTAGTGGTTGAGTTCGTTTGTAGCTCACACCATGTTTTGATGGTTTGCTATTACTGTGAATCTTATGTTCATCGAATAATTTCTGAGTTTTTGTTCTTGTCCACTGGTTCCTGAATAGTAGATTTTGAAGCTGTACGGTAGTTTTTAAGCATGGCAGAGGATTTAGACGAACCATTGCTGGATCCTGATACTTTCGATAGAAAAGGAATTGACTTGGTATATTATTATTCATTTTTACTCAAATTCTTGTTATAGTTTTGTGCCAAAAAATGATTTTGACGCTTGAGATTGACAGGGTATATTGCCACTGGAGGAGGTTTTTGAATACCTAAGAACATCGCCTCGGGGGCTTTTATCTGGAGATGCTCAAGAAAGATTGAAGATATTTGGTCCTAACAGACTTGAAGAGAAACGGGTAATAAACAGAACATCTTCAAAGTGTTCCTGCCAAGTGTCTCCATAATGTTGTGCTAATGCCATTTAAAAAAAATGATACAGGAAAACAAATTTCTGAAATTCCTAGGTTTTATGTGGAATCCGTTGTCATGGGTTATGGAAGCTGCGGCATTGATGGCCATTGCCCTCGCTAATAGTAAAGTAAGATAATCACAGTTTTGCTACCATTTTTCGTCCACAAGTGTTTATGAAATTGTTTCTCTTCTTTACCGTGTGAAGATACAACTTGAAACTCATGGTGGTGATAATGGTATTACAGAGCATGGGTCCTGACTGGGAAGACTTTGTTGGAATCGTTTGCCTTTTACTTATAAACGCAACAATTAGCTTCTTTGAAGAAAACAATGCTGGGAATGCTGCTGCAGCTCTTATGGCTCGCTTGGCTTTAAAAACAAGAGTATGGCTCTTAACCTTCCAATGAGCCGAAACGGCAAATCTAGCTGCACTATCGTTTCCATATTACCTTAAATTTGATTTAGATCCACTCTTATAGGTTCTTAGAGATGGACAGTGGCAAGAGCAAGATGCTTCTGTCTTGGTACCTGGTGATATAATTAGCATAAAGCTTGGGGATATCATTCCTGCAGATGCTCGCCTTCTTGAAGGAGACCCCTTGAAGATTGATCAGGTACTTCCATAATATCTAGCACTTATTTGCATCTCTTTTCTTTTAGTGTACTACGTAAAGACTTTCTCTAGTTAAACATTTATTCCTGCAGTCAGTGCTGACCGGTGAATCACTACCTGTGACCAAGAAGAAGGGTGAGCAAGTCTTTTCTGGTTCTACTTGTAAGCAAGGTGAAATAGAAGCTGTTGTGATAGCAACTGGTGCGACCACCTTCTTTGGAAAAACAGCACGCTTGGTGGACAGTACAGATGTAACTGGACATTTTCAGCAGGTTTTTCTTCTTTCTCTTTTGGTTGGAAAGAACCTCTGATTAGTGAACTTGGAATCTGGAGAAACCCAATGTATTCTAAAAGTTGTGAAATATAATCTGCAGCTTGCAAGAACATGACATTTTTCTATGACATGTTTTCTTCTAGGTTCTTACATCCATTGGAAACTTCTGCATTTGCTCCATTGCTGTTGGAATGGTTCTTGAAATCATTGTCATGTTCCCTGTACAACATCGTTCCTACAGAGTTGGGATCAATAACCTTCTTGTACTCCTGATTGGAGGGATACCCATTGCCATGCCCACTGTACTATCTGTCACGCTTGCCATTGGATCTCATCGACTTTCACAACAGGTACAAATCTTGGTGTCAATTCTCTTTAGTATTTAACTACAGTAGAGTGAATAGAGAAGAATCCTACTTTAAGTAACTTAATGCAAAAGGAAGTCCTTTGTTTGTTATTCTTTAAAACAGTTTGTTAGCAATAATATGTTTCTTCTTGTTATAAAAGGGTGCCATTACAAAAAGAATGACCGCAATAGAGGAAATGGCTGGGATGGATGTACTCTGCTGTGATAAAACTGGAACCCTCACTTTGAACAGTCTCACCGTTGATAAAAATCTTATTGAGGTACCAATACTACGGATACGACTTGAATTACATCAAAGAATACTGTTAAGAACAGTTGCCTGCTTCTTCCTTGCTTTGCCCCCTTTGTTCTCTATTGTTGGTGTTTAAATGTACAAATCCTTCTGCACAGGTATTCGTTGACTACATGGACAAGGACACAGTTTTGTTGCTTGCAGGCCGAGCTTCACGACTAGAAAATCAGGATGCTATAGATGCAGCCATTGTTAGCATGCTTGCTGATCCCAGAGAGGTAGAGATGTTTCTCTTACATGAACTCTCTTTTATAAGACTATCACCTTCTTAGAAGTATTTCTCAAACAAAGGTTGTAAATCTGTAGGCACGTGCAAACATTAGAGAAATCCATTTCTTGCCATTTAATCCTGTGGACAAACGTACTGCAATAACATATATTGATTCCGATGGAAAATGGTATCGTGCTACCAAAGGTGCTCCTGAACAGGTAAGTATCACCCTATGTAAAAATTTATTGAATTTTTTTGTACTGTGTCCATGAAAGAAATATCATCACTAATACAACTGTGCTATATTATAGGTTCTAAACTTGTGTCAACAGAAAAATGAGATTGCGCAAAGAGTTTATGCCATCATTGATAGATTTGCAGAAAAAGGTTTGAGGTCTCTTGCGGTTGCTTATCAGGTAACATCATTGTCCTCTCCCTTTCTCTCTTGAGCTGGTTTTATCACAAGTGTACTTTTGAAGAAGAACGTTCCAATTCATGCATCATTTTAATAATTGTTTCTAGGAAATTCCAGAGAAAAATAGCAATAGTCCTGGAGGACCATGGAGGTTCTGTGGTCTGTTGCCACTGTTTGATCCTCCAAGGCATGACAGCGCTGAAACCATCCTTAGAGCTCTTAGCCTTGGAGTTTGCGTTAAGATGATCACCGGTAAATTTTAACCTTAAGCTTGATAGGCTTGGCCCGACAGAGAACACATACACCCTTATGTGTAAATGGTAAAACTCTGGGAAAATGAATGAAAAGCTGATGATAAGTTTGGAAAATAATGTAGGTGATCAATTGGCGATTGCGAAGGAGACAGGCAGACGTCTTGGAATGGGAACCAACATGTATCCTTCTTCCTCTTTGTTAGGCCACAACAATGATGAGCATGAAGCCATTCCAGTGGATGAGCTAATTGAAATGGCAGATGGATTTGCTGGAGTTTTCCCTGGTCTTAACACAACACAACCATAGTACCAATGAAGTTTAAGATTTGCCCTCATTTCTGATCCCAAACTTTTTTTGTCTCTCATGTTACAGAACACAAGTATGAGATTGTAAAGATTTTACAAGAAATGAAGCATGTGGTCGGAATGACCGGAGATGGTGTGAATGATGCTCCTGCTCTCAAAAAAGCTGACATCGGAATAGCTGTCGCTGATGCAACAGATGCCGCAAGAAGTTCTGCTGACATAGTACTAACTGATCCCGGCTTAAGTGTAATTATCAGTGCTGTCTTGACCAGCAGAGCCATTTTCCAGCGGATGAGGAACTATACAGTAAGTACTAAAGTTATAGTCACAGAACTATCATTTGATTCCTGATAGCTAAAGATAAGCAAATTCATATAATATAGGATATGGATTTCAAGTAGTTTGATGAAATTCTCAAATAGCTTATGTCTTCTCTGAATTACTGACTAATCAGTACGAATCTGCAGGTATATGCAGTCTCGATCACCATACGCATAGTGGTAAGGAGCTTCATGATACATGATCTAACTCATGTTAGTTTAGATACATCTACTTACTTGAACGTTCTCTTCTTGTCATTGTTTCCTGCAGCTTGGTTTTACACTTTTAGCGTTGATATGGGAATACGACTTCCCACCTTTTATGGTTCTGATAATCGCAATACTCAATGACGGTAATCTTTTAATCAATAGCTTCATGTTGATGTAAGAAACCTAATTCTTAACACTTTCAAGTGCTTTGTTTATCTCCTACGCATCAGGGACCATCATGACTATTTCTAAAGATCGAGTTAGGCCATCTCCTACACCTGAGAGTTGGAAGCTCAACCAGATATTTGCGACAGGAATTGTCATTGGAACATATCTAGCATTGGTTACCGTCCTGTTCTACTGGATCATTGTTTTTACCACCTTCTTCGAGGTATCTTCCTATCACTCAAAGTAAGTTAGATTTTGCTTACCGAGAAGAATACATACCGGTGACCAATCTGTAATGACTGCAGAAGCACTTCCATGTAAAATCAATTGCATCCAACAGTGAACAAGTCTCATCCGCTGTGTATCTCCAAGTGAGCATCATCAGTCAGGCACTCATATTTGTTACACGTAGTCGAGGCTGGTCTTTTTTTGAACGTCCTGGGACTCTCCTGATTTTTGCCTTCATTCTTGCTCAACTTGTAAGAATTCCGCCTCCTTCACAATTTCCATCACAGAATGCTATATAGCACACATAAGTCGTAATATTGACTTGTCCATTTCATGTACACAGGCGGCTACATTAATTGCTGTATATGTCAATATCAGCTTTGCTAAAATCACCGGCATTGGATGGGGATGGGCAGGTGTTATATGGTTATACAGTCTGATATTTTACATACCTCTAGATATTATAAAGTTTGTCTTTCACTACGCATTGAGTGGAGAAGCTTGGAATCTCGTATTGGACCGTAAGGTTGGTACATGTGTTGTGACTCGTGTCCTCTGCTTTTAGTCAGTCTCAGACTTATACTCTGCATTTTCTTGAAGACGAGACTGTTGGTTTGTCTTGCAGACAGCTTTTACTTACAAGAAAGATTATGGTAAAGATGATGGAACGGCCAATGTAACCATCTCTCAGAGAAGTCGTTCAGCAGAAGAACTCAGTGGAAGTCATTCTCGCGCTTCTTGGATCGCTGAACAAACCAGGAGGCGTGCAGAAATCGCCAGGTTCTCTTTTTATCTATACCCCTTGGGTATTCTCTTCCATTTTCACATACTAAAAAATAACTATATTGTTTTTCATTTGGTAGGCTCCTAGAGGTTCATTCAGTGTCAAGGCATTTAGAATCAGTGATCAAACTCAAACAAATTGACCCAAGGATGATCCGTGCAGCTCATACTGTCTAAAACTCTCTTGATTTTTCCCTAACTCAAAATTTACATAAAGAGGGATCGAACAATCTTGTATTCCTCAGTGAAGAGAAAACAATATTTAGAGCATTCATATGTAATGTAGTCTTGTTTTCCGGTGACAGCAGAAATTTCACCTGATCTGCTCTGCTGAGATCAATTGTAAACCATATATGTAGGTGTTGCACTGAACTTGTGATAACTCTTCACCACTTTGGTTACTGCATCTAGAAAATCTTGCTCAGTCACTGTCTTTCTTCTTGCTCGAATAGCAAACATGCCAGCCTCTGTGCATACGCTTCTGATATCAGCTCCTGAAACGTTAATAATATCCATTCAGTTTATTTACACTAATGGTATCTCTAGAACTTTAAAAGGAGAGTGAAAAGAAGAAACAATGTGTGCCTGAAGTATTTGGACAAAGGCGAGCAAGCAGCTCGTAACGGATATGCTTATCACAGTTCATTGATCTTGTATGGATCTTGAATATATGTATCCTGCCTTGTAAGTCTGGAAGACCAAACTCAAGCTTACGGTCTAACCGTCCAGGACGCAGCAAAGCTGGATCTAGTGAGTCAGGCCTGTAAAATCAGGATTAGGAACTAGGCAATGGCTGCATTTGCTTGCGAATGATGTGAAAAAAGAAGAAGAAGAAAAGAAACCTGTTTGTAGCCATAAGTACTTTGATATTCCCTCGCTGATCAAAGCCATCTAGTTGGTTCACAATCTCCAGCATAGTTCTGTGGATCCCGCTGTCTTCGTAGGGACCAACACCAACCCTTGCACCTCCAATGGCATCAACTTCATCAAAGAAGATAATACAAGCTTTTTTCGAACGTGCCATCTAAAGAAAATAAACAACGAAAATGATATCATCGAAATACTTATGATCCATTGACAAGTAAACCAATCAGGGGATATGAACATCAGATGAAATACCTGAAAAATTTGGCGAACCATGGAAGCTCCCATACCACTACACTTGTGAACAAGCTCAGTCCCTATAACCCGAATGAAACATGCTGCAGTCCTGTTAGCCACAGCTTTAGCCAAGAGAGTTTTACCGGTTCCAGGAGGACCATAACAAAGCACACCCCTTGGAGGATCCAGCCCGAGCTTTACAAACTTCTCAGGGTGAAGCATTGGCCACTCAACAACCTGAAAACAACGCCGGTAAGATGCAAAGGATAAATGCTTCAGCAGGATAAAGAAAACACTGAATTTGCTCACTTCTCGGATCTGTTGGATCTGCTCTGTGCATCCACCTATATCATTGTATGTCACATCTGGTGTATCTTCCACGATAAACATTTTGGTTGTGTAATCAAATCTTGGAGGCAGTGGCATCATTATTTTAAACTTCGGACAGACTCTGTAATTGATCAGTAATTAACTTTGGATTTTTAAGAACTAGAATGTGAAAGTTGCTCTGTTTGTACATGAAACAAAGAACTAACCCCACACGCATGCCTTCTTCTACGTCGGTTGGAGAGAGACTGCTGCTCAGAGAAGCAACGTATTTCTGCAATTACAATAAAACAACATTCAGACAGGCTACAATGAGAATAAGCTTGAAGAAGGCTAATAAAAATATGGAGTTATAAATGAATAGTACCCGCGAGTTTTTAGTCTGAATGACATATCTAGCATCTTCAGAGTTTGGATTGAGTATCGCCGTGCATGTAAAAACCTAAATGACGAAAATCTTATCAAGAACCTTGTACATCCATCACATCGCTGAATTTGGAAAGACTGAGTGAGAAATATCAGATACCCGCAGATTTTGTTCTTCATCCAGCATTTCTTCATCGCCGATAAGATCCCACTGGCTTCGTGGAGCCAAACCCATGTCAGATTCTTCCACCCCTAAGATCAACCAGTAAAGCATTAAAAGACAAAAAAAAAAAAAAAAAAAAAAACCAAAATAAGAGAGAGTATTCAAGAAATGATTCAAAAAAGTCAACAACGCATTGTTTTTCAGAAACAAAAAAAAAGCGCACCGCATATATCGTTGATCTTCTTTTCCCTTTCTTTTATCTCTTTTTCCAGTTCCCTTATAGCAGCATCATTAGGTCCTAATGCCTGGAGTTAAAAAGAAAAAAACAGAATCAACAATAGTTCCTACTTGGGTCACTCAAGAACATAAGAGTTCGAGAGAAATGCATTATATCAATCGTGGATTTGTTACTAGATGATGACGACAAGAACGGCCCAAGCAAGAACAGATTAAACCAAATAACAGAATCATCCATAAACATGCATGATTCGAGATTGAAGTAAGAATCAAAAGTATCAAATTACTGAAACTTAAAAAAAAAAAAAAAAAAAAAAAAAAAAAAAAAAAAAAAAAAAAAAAACTTCTATATTCGTAGAGGTAACGAACTGGGCAAGAACTACGATGACGTAGGGATGAAGAAATAACGTACATGGGTTTTGAGAATCGCAATGTCTTCTTCGTCTATAGGAATATGCTTCTTGTCCTCATTATCGTGCTCCATTTTTACTCTCTCACAATTGTATTTTGCTTCGATCGCTTTACTCTGAAGGAGAAAGAAAGATGAATTATATATTTCTTGAAAGAGAGGGAAAAATATGAAGGGAAATAACTTTTAAACATATCCTCAGGTTTCGATTACTATTTAAAATCGCCCCTTTACTTATTATATTATCAATTTCAACCCTGGATCGTTTCGTCTGATGGCTGATGAGTCGTTCGTTAATATTAAAAAATCACCCCTTTTATTTCCCGTGTAATCAAATATTACCCCCTTGTTTCAACTATTGCAAATTTAGTCCACGTTCCGTGTTCAATAAATCTTGGTTTATAATTACATGTTTCAAAAGCAGTCAAGCTTGTTCTTATAGAACAGAAAATTCTCAAGCAAAAAAACTCTATTTCACCGACACAATCACAAAATCGTCGGAAAAGAATTAAACGAATTTGACATTAACGGCGCCTATTATAATACAGGTAAAGAGGAAGAACCATGGAAACAGAGGCAATATGAAAGTTAACATGTGTTTACTTTTTTACTCATTTTCAGCTATGAAGTTTGGTTCTTCGCCTCGACAGAGATACTCATCGCACATAGATGAAGTTCCCCAATCTTTTCTTAGCCGCAAGATATCCTCTGTAAAAGTAGAACCAGATGCTCCAATGAAGACACTGGACATTGCACATATAGTCTTATCCAACATAGCATCCACCTAAACACTCCAAAAACCAAAGCATAAGCAAGTGAATGTCTCGTCAAAGAAGACGGGAACAAAGAGTCTCTAAGGATTTTTTCGCAGACCAAAGACTATTACAGTGTTACTAGATCATAGACCATTATAACGGATATCTGTTCATAACCACATTGGAGATACAGTTCAAGTAGAAAACAAAGTCTTTGGCCCTAAACAAGTAATAAATTCGTTACCTGAGAGTCATCTTCAATACCATGTCTATACAACAACGAGTCCCACTTTTCTGCAGAGTTGCGAGGTGGACGTTTGACAAGGGGAACGACTTTTCCATCAACGACTACAAGTGACTGAAGCAGAACGGTTTCGCTTTCTGCAGCATCTGTTGAAAGGTAGATGACTGGAGCATTGGCCCTTTCCACCATCCGACTGATGCAGTCTGCAGCTTGTGGTATGGGATAAAAACAACTTGGCGATTTTGCATTGCTGGCAAGAAATTATTCATTAGACAGAGCCAGCTATTAATGAGACACAGTTTTTGTTAAAATCCAATCCTAGTCCCTATATCGATCATCAATATCAGCGCAGTATTCAACTGCTACACAGAAGTGCTAAGTAAAGCAAATGACAAACTGCTGGATGGAGATATCCCAATCAATTGAGTGTGGGCTACACTATCAAGATACAAATGGCAACAATGACAAGGTTCCATAGCCTAAAAAGTGAGAGATACAACAAAAGAAAAAACTCACCAGAACTTAAGGAACCCATGTCTACGGAGATGAAGCGAGATGAAATTCTTTCCTAAGAATGTCTGGATGAATCGTTGTGCAGTCACCAAAATGAGCCTACTGGGTTCGATCAGTGTTTTGCATTTGTGCTTGATGGGTCCCCCAGGCTGCATCACCAAATCTTGCTCCATAACAGCGTAGAAGACATCCCCTATGGCGATCACACCATCATCGGACTTAAACTTTTCAACTACCTCTTGAGAAGTTCGCTTAGTTGGCTTCTTTATATCTTCATTCCAAGGAGCCTCAAGCTTCCCACCAATGGAAACCCCCAATCCTTTCAGCTTCTTGATATGATCCTCATCCACATAACAAGGCTGTGGCGATGAGAAGTAACAGATGAACCTGTCAATGTGAGCACTGTTCTTCTTATCAATCTCCTTGAACTGATCAAAAGAAATGACAACAGTTCTTCCCAAGCACGTATTAATCCGCTCTATATCTATCACTCTATCATACTGGTAATCAAACTTAGAGCTTGGAATCACGAGAACTCGATCCAGCAGCGCAGCAAAGAACATATGTTTCTCTAAGCAAATCAAGTGGTTACTCATTTGACCTGAGAGACAGATAGCAAATAGGAACTTATCTGGTCTCGGCTTCCATTCGATTGTTTTCCGCTCCAACAACTTCTGATCTACCTTTTTACATCTATCAGCATAGTAAGAAGAACCAGTGATACTATCTGAACCAGAACCAGTGACAGAGTAATTCCCAGTCTTGTGTGGTGATAGAAGGACCTCTTCGATTTCCTTATTCACTGAAATCTGCTTCAGTAGAGCAGCTTTCACATTGTCTATTAAAACAGAAGAACCAATTGCATTCGAAGAATTGAAATTCGTACGAGTCAACAGAGAGACAAGTGCGAGCTGTTGCTGCCTCAGAAGATTCAGAGCTTGGAGCTCAGATTCCTTGACCCGACTTGACATTGGATCAAGCTTAAAGCTTGAGAGATCTACTGAGAAGAATCTACGAGTATCAGTAAATAAGAACAAAAATCCGACGAACAGAGTTAGAGAGACGACAGCAACGACGTAACGCTTGTTAACTGAGATTTTCCAACGGTTTCGAGCTCGCGATACGATTTCATCGATCTGAAACGCCGATCTTGGACTCCTGCCACCGCCGTTAGCCCTATTTATGGCCCTGGCGGTGGTGACGGAGTGAAGCTCGTCTTCATGGCGGAGGTCGAGATCGTTGTCTCTGGTGTCGTTCTGTGGGATTAAATTCCGGTGGTCCTCTTCATCGTCCGACGAGTTGCGCACCATCGACGAGCTGGAAATCTATGGGAGATAACAAATCCAAACAGTACGATTCTTCTCAGAGTATCCAAATCTCCAAATTCAAAAAAAAATCGAAATTCGACAGAAATGCGAATAAGCAAATTAATTTAATTATCAAGTTAACATTATTAACCGATAGCCTACCAAAAAAAAAAACATTATTAACCGATAACAATAATCACTGGACTGGACTCGAGAAGAAGATTGGTAACCAGTCAACGTCGGTGGTTGAAGAGATTGAACCGGTACAGCCAAACCAGTTTTTTAATTTATCATTATTGTGATGAGTATGGTTTTTCTTACTAATGGGCATAAAGTGACAATTGCTTAATTGGCCCAGTATACCTAACAATTCTACTATTCATTAGTGACGAATATTCTTGTAGCTACTCTGAAGATGTCAAAATTGGGTATCGGCTCTGTGTCACTTCTGATTAAGAGCCTTCTTTTGTCATTAAGTTACTACAAAAATATTCGGTTGCAAAAAAATTGACGAATTAACCTGTGAGCTCTTGGAGAAGTACAATTTGAAAACCGTACGGTTCTGTTTTATCAAATCCAAACCATTACCCTCAATTCATATACTATACAAAGTAGTTCCAACAAAGCTACAATATGTATGTAAATGTGAAACCAAACTTATGTTATCTGCTTTTACAAGCACAAACCATGAGGGGCTAAAATGAGTCAATTCAGACGAAGAGCACTAGACAAAAGGAGACTACTCTTGATGCTGAAGAGAGAGAGAGAGACAAGGAGAGATTTTACCCGATGGATTGTCCAGGTCGGGAACTGTTGCATAGAAATTACAGTTGAAGTAAAGGCAACGCCATTACAACACCGAAAACCGACACTAGCAACAGTATTATCCATGCTGGCAATCCCTGTTTCTTGTTCTTTTTCCTCTCCTTCAAGCCACCTTCTGAGTCCTCCTTTGTTGGATCGATGGTTTTCTCTGACTCGACTTTGGTATCGCTCTTTTGAGGAGACTCTGGTGTTGTCACTTGTGTGGCAGCTTGCTCAGCTAGTTCCTGCTGGTTGTACTTCTCTACGTACTCTGGAAATAGCTTTCGAAATGCTGGGCTGTGACATGTAAGAACATTGGATTCAGGTTCAAGACCAAAAACATGTAAGCTTGGGACTGCATTCATTCCTATATTCGTTATCTAACCAGCTTTTATGACTATCCTAACCACAAATAACTAAATTTAGCTTCTAAATGAATCCAGAATTTAACAAATTTTGATGGTGGGAAAACCTTACGTTTTACAATTGAAAGCTAGAGATGACTTAGCCAACCGTTGTTTCTCAGCTACAGTAGTGTTCACACTTCCAGTTGTCGGACTGGTATCCATCTGCACCATAAGTCAAACGTTTAGAGAAAGCTTGGGAACAGAAAAAGAAAAAATTCATAATCATATCTAAGCTATAAACCATTACAATATAAGAAAATGAAAATTTTCAAACAAGATGTCCATAAATTTGTAGAACCTACAAAGAGCAAACAAGATGTCCATAAATTTGTAGAACCTACAAAGAGCTTACCATAAATGAGAGAAGGCCTGTAAGTATGCTGCATTCGTGAAAAAAAGTTGGTTATCAACAGGTATATCAATTGTCATCTTCCAAAGTAAAGAAAGAATCTCTACCTTGACACAGACCACATCGGATTCCAGCTTTCTGGGTGAACTGTACATGCCATGTAAATTTATTTAGATATTGGACAACTTAAATGAACAGAAAGTGCAGATTGTCCTTACAATCACTCATAGACAAACAAATTTTCTTTTGTGTCATGAATCGACCATTTGGTGTAGTCATTCTGAGGCAAACAAAAAAGATATTTGGTTCATTAGAAACTTGACTAAAACTGAGGTAAGATAAATGTTGAGACTGAATTCGGAAGAACCATTGGAACATACGTAATCCCAGGTGGCTTGTAAGGATACTCAGGAGGAAACTTGATCTTTCCATAGTAAAATCCACCTGTTAAAGAGAATTTTAGTATCAAAAATAAGATACTGCAAAAGACAACACTAACAAGAAACTTTCAAAAGAAGATTTTCACCTGCAAAAGGTGTTCCCTCACTACCTTCCAGCACATAATCTGTAAGATTAATCCACTAGTTAACTCTATGTTAGTAAGAGATCAATCAAGCTACCTTTTTAACATACTCAATGTAATAAAAAGACTGAAACTCCCTAACCGCTAACAGCCTTTTACAATTGAGAAGAAAAATATCAAATCTATGCATTGTACGTATATATAAACCTTTTGATAAATAAGTCTTCACCATTCTATCAAAGTGATGGTTAAAATGTGAGACCTCCTCTGTCTACTTACATCATAGTAACCCATTGTATCATAGTTTAACGTATATTCACAAGTGTAGCAAATATGACCATCATATATACCTCTTCCTAACACCTTTATAGAAAAGCTTGCAACAGGATTACGGGAAGCCAGCAGGAGAAATAAAGATTAAGAAAAAAAGATAGGAAAGGCTTACGCCACTCGAGAATGTCATTTGGGGAAGGACGAGCAACAACATGGGAGACAGGTTCCTAAAGGCCGAAAACAGAACAATATTATAAATAACCACCAAAGAAACAAAAGAAAATATGAAACTTACTCTTGAACAAAACCAAGAAAACATTCACATACAGATACAACATCATTTGAAAAGTTGAGAGAGAACTGGTTGAGTAATAATGGTTCTTGCTGGAGAGATGTGGACAACAAGAGAATAGATTGTACCTTGCAAAGTGCTCTATATTCCTTTTGAAGACGTTTTATACAAGCCTTTTCTGCCATCTATGTGCTACGGACTAAGTGAGTAGCTGCAGCTGCTGTTAATCAACAAAACGAAATAAAAATTAAAGTGAAAGTCCACCTACTTAAGAAATGAACCAAAACACATACAAATTCCGTTGTCAGATCAATTAGAAAAGGAAAGCATTCCCTGTATGCCAAACAGAATCAGTGGCATCAATGGTTTACCTCAACCTTGGACAGAAAAATCAACCAAATACACACAAGATCAAATGAAACTTGAATCAAACAACACTATGATAACTAAAAATCCCCAATTTCCATGAGCTTGGGAAAATCTTTTCACCAAAATCACTGCAAACCAATTGAAAGCAACGAAATTCAATCGAATTCCAACCAAATAAGAGGAAATAATCTGGAAAATATCTCAACCTAGCAAATCCTTTGATTCAACCGAGAAAATTGCAACAATGATACCCAGTAAACGAACAAAATCACATCAGAAGAAATTCCATAGTAGATAACAACAGATCGAAGAAAGAATTGCGAAAATATGAAAGAAATTGAGCACCTCAATCGAAATTTTGTCGAGGAAGATTTTCTCTCTGGGGTTTCTCCTTAATCAATCACTTTCTCCTTCTCCTCGGGTTAGAGAGAGAGAGAAAGAATTAGCCTAACTCGCGCTTGGTTTATCTAAACCGAACAAAATTCAACACTAGTTAGACCGGTATTAGATAATCCATTCCGGTTCGTTATTTGTAAGCCACACACACCACAAGATAAAAAAAATTCATCATTTTCTAACATAAAATAAAACCCCTTTCTAATTGAGGATTAATGATTTAATAATTCATTTTTGCGTGATGCACTTTTCCCTATTTCTTTATTCTCCACTCATCAAAGAATCTGTGCCGGTTCTTGGAATCAACTTTTCCTTCTCTTCACAAAATGAAAACATAAATAAATAACTGCAGAAGAAAAGAAAAAACAATTTTGTGAAAAAAAAAACTAGTGATTAGTAGAGAGACAAAACAGCTGTTACCTGCAATTTTCCCTTTGTGAAATTGGACTTACACTAATACCTCCAAATTCCAAAGTTATGTCTTTAGAAAAAATACTTATAAAATTTCAATAAAGTTAAGTTTCAGCCTCTTTTGAGTTCCCCGATAACAGTAGGCAGAAATCACGTGCTCTAATCACATGACCACCATGTCTTTCTCTTTGTTTCAAAGCAGTTACATGAGTTAGGTAATGTGTATATGTGGATCTTTGTCTCTACATATGATATTGTATCATTGTTTCAATGTAGATGCTGAGGAATATCATCATCATCAGTAAATGATTAAGAATAAGATAAGTATCTCACCATCTGATTAAATAGCAATAGTCAAAGTAAGATCACGTGATCAGATCCCAATAACTATGTGTTCAAACACACAAATCTTTTTCTATAAAACCAACAAGCTTTAGAAGTCTCTCGTCCCTCTCTCTCTCTCTCTTTCTCCAACTCACATCTCTATCCAATATTTTCTCACTTACAGTCACAAGAGTCCTAAAGGAATTACAAGAAGAAAATCCACAATGAAAAGATACTGTTCAGTGGCGGCGCTGCAGGTTCTGTTACTTGTAGCTTTCTTTAGCAGCAAGTATTGTGTAGAAGGCCGTTCTCTGTTAACGATGACACATTCGAGTCAAGCTGTGAGAGATTTGCATGTAAGCAAGGAGATGAAGAAAGAGCCGCTTAAGGGAGAAAAAGATAGCTTCAGAAGAATCCCAAGGAGTGGTTCAAACCCTATACAGAACAAGTAAAGAAGAAGCGAGACACAATCTAGTTTTTTTTTTAATGTATCCCCAAAGATGAGTTTTAGATGTAATTGACATCAAAAAGTGTTTCTTTTTGTATCAGGTGTAATCCACCGGTAGATGTTAAAGGAAGTAGGAACCAGCAGATCATAGCATCAAGAAAACCTTAAACTTCAGTTCTTTTTTTTTTGTACGTCCTTCTTAGATCCTCTACTTTCTTTCTTTTTGTTTTGTAGAATAGGTACCTAGACATGTGTGTTCTTAATGCTGATTAAAATATATGAACTCATCTTTTAGCACATGTTCTTTCTCAGTGATGCTTAAAACCCCTTAAATATACAATGATCAACCTCTTTCTCTGTGTTATTTGGTTCTTATGCTTCAAATGTCCTTAAGAAAGAAAGGTGTTCTGTTGGAACTCTCTAACCAAATGCAGAGCAAACCTCATAATATCCTGATTGTTTAGCTGCCTATCTCGATTTCCACTGATTACTTCTCACTGCAAACAAAAGCAACAATGAAAGAAGTAATCACACTGGGAACTAGATTCCTTCTGACATATAAGGGTGTAACTCTTTAAAACGCCGATTATTTACAAAACTTTTGGACCAAGAAGAAACAAAGTGGCATCCAACAGAGTACTATTACCTTGCATATATCATTAACAGAATATAAGTCTGAATTCTGGAAATTGAGTTGCTAATGATTTCAATGCAGTGTCATTAGCAAATCATTGGTAAAGCTTTATCAACTCTCTTGAGCCCCTAGCTAAATCAAAAGTCAAAAATATTCAGAGAATTCAGCAATACTTATTTTTCAGCACAAAGAGCGACGTCGTTTGCTCGTTTAGATTATGACTTTTCCTCACGAACTGGTTGGGCCGGGAGAAAGTCTCTAAACCAGAATTCGGCCCATAAGGACCAAGAACATATTTTAATTAGCGCGAGATTTGTCCAACAGCGATTTAGGCGCCGACTCCGAACAATAAAACACATGGTTTTGTTTGTCTGAATAATCCACGTTCCAGAAGTTCTTTATGTCCAATTAATTGTTCATTAATATATTAGACCATCCAAAATTAACTAAAAAAGAAGAAGAAAAAACCCATTATTTTATCACGAGTCACGACTAATAAACACACTAAAAACAATAATAATCTCACTATTTTTTAACATTAAAAATTAAAAAAATCTCACTACTTTTATTACATTTTGTTTACTACTTTAGTTTGATTTTTCGTAGAGGAAAAAAATATGAAGTTTGATTATTGACATATTTGGTAAGAAAGGAAAAAAGGAAGAAATTAAATATTCGTTGAAAAAGGTTTAAAGAAATCCGTTGAAAATAAAGGCAAATACATAAATTCCAAATCGGTGGACGGACAAAAAAATGTCAAAATCAGTGTGAATTGGAGAGAGAGAGAGAACACAGGAATTGGGAACTTCCGTCTTTGAGCAAAACTATCCAAAAGCTAAATTTAGATTGAGCAACAAGCTTTTAGTATAAATCCCTGATCACACATCACAAATGCGGAGATTCGTGATTGGTCAAGCTAAAAATCTCATAGATCAGAGTCGTCGTCGTCAATATCATCATCTCAAAAATCTCAGCTTTCTCTCTCTTATTCCTCCTTTTTCTGCTCCTTCCGATTCTTCATCGCGCCACTTGTCTTCTTCTTCTTCTTCGGAGATGTCTGCTTCTGATTCCTCTTCCTCTCTTCCCGTTACTCTTGACTCCATCAATCCCAAGGTCCGTCTTTTTTTCCTATTTTCTCGCCTTCTTTTGTTCAATCAATAGTTGATCTTTTTGGGTTGCTGTTTATTAGTGATTTTGCATTCTGGGTTTGTATTATTTTTCCTCGATTGATCTGGGTTTTTCGCAAGCTTTGGTTTTGTTATATACTCTGATGAAATTTATGATTTACGATTTGTTAAAGCGAAGAGCTTCGTTTAATTTCTTCGAGATTGCTCTGTACTTGATTTAGGGTTTATCGAACATCTGCTTGTGTGTTTAAGGTTGATGTTGTTTTAACAACCTCTCCTTTTGGGCATCATGTTTCGATTTTATGCATATTGTGATTCGTATCCTCGTCTCCGCATCTCGATCATTGACCCTTGATAGATTTATTTCTTTTACGTATTATATTATCCATTGTTTATTTTTTATACACAGATATATAAAACTGGGACTTTTTAGAATCCATTTTGTTCTTCAGCTTTTTGCGGATATAAAAAATGTCTGTTGCTTTCTGGATTCTTCATTTGTTCTTCCTTGTGATTACCTCATACTTTTCAATTGAATAGTTTATTGTCAAGGAACAGTTCTGCATCTAAAATCTTGCTATAGTGACTGATGTCTTGAATATTTTCCTTGGTTTTTTAATTCTAACAATATGGTATCTTTTTGGGGGATCTCAAGGTTATCAAATGTGAGTATGCTGTCCGTGGAGAAATTGTCAACATTGCTCAGGTTAACATCTTTGTCCTTGATTGTATTTTTCTAAAGTGGATACTGTTTTGCTCATTTTGATTTCTGGTTCCATCTCACAGAAGTTGCAAGAAGATTTGAAGACTAACAAGGACTCTTATCCCTTTGATGAGGTACGTTACAATCGTTTTAGTCCTTTTCGTATACTCAAAACTTGATTCTTATGAAGTTTGTCCCCTTTTGGCAGATAATCTACTGTAATATCGGGAATCCTCAATCTCTTGGTCAACAGCCTATAACATTCTTCAGAGAGGTAAATACGTGAGCTTTTATATTACTGGTTTGTTCCATATGTTAGTCATGACTCATTAGTTAACTTGTAACATTTTTGTCTCAGGTTCTTGCTTTATGTTCCCACACAGCCCTGTTGGACGAGAGTGCAACACACGGTTTGTTCAGGTACCAAAAGTGGTTTATATGTTTTACCTCACTATATAATTCAACTTCTAGTTGTTTTGATTCTGTGGTGTAAGATTGTTTAAACATTGAACTTTACAAATTTTATCAGTTCTGATTCAATTGAGCGTGCTTGGAAGATTCTGGACCAAATTCCCGGGAAAGCGACTGGTGCTTACAGCCACAGCCAGGTTTGTGGCATTGTGAATCTTGACAGCATCTCTCTCTCTCAATGATGATTCCCTCTCTTAATCTTCTGTTCTGCCTCAGGGTATCAAGGGGTTACGTGATGCAATTGCTGCTGGAATCGAAGCCCGTGATGGTTTCCCTGCTGATCCTAATGATATATTCATGACAGATGGTGCAAGCCCAGGGGTAACGATTATCAAACTAATCTTCTCTTAACTCGTAGAATTTGGAACACCTTGTTGTGAAGGTGATAGTGATGTTCCTCTCCTTCTAGGTTCATATGATGATGCAACTTCTCATAACTTCAGAGAAAGATGGAATCCTTTGCCCTATTCCTCAGTACCCATTGTACTCAGCTTCAATTGCCCTTCACGGTGGAACTTTGGTATGTTCGTTATCTCTGTTTCTGATGATGATATCATTTTGATGCATGACTATATCGCTTGGAAAAATGAATCTATTCCGAGTTTCTTTTGTCTCTCTTCTGATTTGCCGTCATCTTCTTCTCGTAGGTTCCATACTACCTTGATGAAGCATCAGGATGGGGTCTTGAAATATCTGAGCTGAAGAAGCAACTTGAAGATGCTAGGTCAAAGGGGATCACTGTGAGAGCTTTGGCTGTCATTAACCCTGGAAACCCGACAGGGCAGGTAAATGAATCTTCAAGACTAAAACTCACAAATTTATACCGATGCGAATATCACAGTTTCGTCTAAATTTGACCTCTGCTTTGTTCTGGTAAAAGGTTCTTGCGGAAGAAAACCAGCGTGACATTGTTAATTTCTGCAAGCAAGAGGGTTTAGTTCTTTTAGCAGACGAGGTTTATCAAGAAAATGTGTATGTCCCTGACAAAAAGTTCCATTCCTTCAAGAAAGTAGCCCGCTCTATGGGCTACGGTGAGAAGGATCTTGCCTTAGTCTCTTTCCAATCTGTCTCCAAAGGTTTTACAAAAACCCAAATCTCTTAGTCAATTGATAATTCTGATCATTGCGATGGGAAATTAGTGACAAAACAGGATTCACTATTTTTGATAGGGTACTATGGAGAGTGTGGGAAAAGAGGTGGTTACATGGAGGTTACTGGATTCACTTCTGATGTAAGAGAGCAGATATACAAAATGGCTTCTGTGAATCTTTGTTCCAACATCTCTGGTCAAATTCTTGCTAGCCTCATCATGAGCCCTCCCAAGGTATAAAACATCTATATGACTTTTGCATCGCAATTGATTCAGTTTCCACCAGGTGGCTTGGACTTGCACACCGATAATTGACCTTAACATTTTTTATGAAATTTGATCAGCCTGGTGACGACTCCTACGAGTCATACATAGCAGAGAAGGATGGAATTCTCTCATCTTTAGCAAGACGTGCGAAGGTTAGCCATCTAATAGAGAAATAGGAATATTCAAGATTAGAACTTTCTGTTCCTAATACGATTGAACTCTTCTAACCTTGCAGACTCTTGAAGAGGCGCTGAACAAGCTAGAGGGTGTTACATGCAATAGAGCGGAAGGAGCTATGTATCTATTCCCCTGCCTTCACCTTCCACAAAAGGCGATTGCAGCTGCAGAGGCGGAAAAGACAGCACCAGACAATTTCTACTGCAAACGCCTTCTAAAAGCTACTGGAATAGTCGTAGTCCCTGGTTCTGGCTTTAGACAGGTTTGAAAAAAAGAAAAAGCTTTTTCTCCAAAGAACCAAACTAAAATCTCAGTTGCTGATATTGATCTTGTGTCTTTTTTTCGGTTTGATGTAGGTACCTGGAACATGGCATTTCAGGTGCACGATACTTCCCCAAGAGGATAAGATTCCAGCGATTGTTGATCGTCTAACTGCGTTCCACGAGAGCTTCATGGAAGAGTTCCGCGACTAAGCATTCTGTTTTCAAGGTCTCTCTATATAGATATGAGTAATAATAAGAAAAAGGTCCCATGCCGTTTCTTTTTCGTCGACTTTGTGTTTACAGAAGCTAAGATGGGAGAGCATTAGTTAGTGCTCTCTTTCTTATTCACCTTTTGTTCTGTTCTTTTTATAGTGAAAAACCATAATATAAATTGAGAGAGCTTTTATAAACGGTTAGTCAAAATGTAATCTTATTGAGAAACACACAAGATTAAATACTGTTGAGCGCCATGTTCAAAGTTTCGATTTCTTTTTTTGATGATTGATATCAAAGTTTCGATTTCATAGTTTGTTTTTCTTCATTTAAAATAATGTATGAAAATATAAATGCTTAAGATTGTAAAAAAAGGGTAATGATTAGTAGAGAGACAGAACAGCTGTTACCTGCAATTTTTTTCTTTCTGAAATTGGACTTACGCTAATACCTCCAAACTCCCTAAATAAAATGTAGACAGTAATCACGTTCTCTATTCACATGGCCACCGTCTCTTAAATTTCAAAGCATGCACATGAGTTAGGTAATGTGTACAGTACATATGATAATGTAGATGCTGCTGACTGCTGAGGAATAGCATCATCATCAGTAAATGATTAAGATTTAAATAGCAGCGGTTATGTGATCAGATTCCAATAACTATGTGTTCAAACATACAAAAATCTTAGTCTATAAAGCAACAGGTTTTAGAAGTCTCTAGGTATCTAACTCACATCTCTATCCAAGATTGTCTCAATTACAGTCACAAGAACAAGTTACGAGCTTTCAAGACTCCTAACGAATTTACAAGAAGAAAACACACAATGAAGAGATACTGTTCAGTGGCTCTGGTTTTGCTACTTGTAGCTTTCTTTAGCAACAAGTATAGTGTAGTAGAAGGCCGTTCTTTGTTAACGATGACACAATCCGGTCAAGTGAGAGATTTACAGATGGGCAAGGATCTGGAGAAAGCACCAGTTAGAGGAGAAAAAGATAGCTTCCGAAGAGTCCCTACTCCTGCTTCGTCGCGTCACTTGTCTTCTTCTCCCGATATGTCTGCTTCTGATTCCTCTTCCTCTCTTCCCATTACTCTTGACTCCATCAATCCCAAGGTGGGTTTTTCTTGACTCCACCACTCCAGAGACTGATGTCTTAAAACGTTTGTTTGTTTTTTTACTCTAACAATGTGATTTTTTGGGGGGGATATATATGATCACAAATTCACACAGGTTCTCAAATATGAGTATGCTGTCCGTGGAGAAATTGTCAACATTGGTCAGTGATGAGACTAGATGTGTTGAGGCCTAAGAGAGTTCAGCTAGGTCAAAGACGTGAAAGAGAAAACCCAATTGCATGTTTATGGATTAAGAGTGACTGGTTTTCCTTTGTTTTAAGGAACCAGCATTCCAACCTTTCCCATTTGTTCTTAATTGTAAGAATCACTTGTTTCCTTCTCAAATCTCAAAAAAAACAAAAAATCGGAAGCTGGTTTAACTGATAAAATATTTTTCTACATTATGTGGTTCAAAGATTAATAATTCAAACTTAATTTCCAAAGTATGAAGTATACAAGAGATGAAAGAATCTGAATAGCATAGAACCATATAATTAAACTCAACAAAACTAAATCAAATATTTTAGAAATTCATTAGAGGAATACTTCACGAGTGACCAATCAATCACCGTTTTGATCACCTACACGACATCGAGTGATCCCATCCGACAGATTTTCCAAGTTTTGCATATCCATCGTTGGTTTCCAACCCATCACATTGATTGGCCATGCCGGAACCATCTCAACCGTCCGATCGTTACCCATCGCAACGATCTTTTTCCCTATATTTTCTCTCAACATACTCAATGCTGCCATGTACTCTTCAAGCTCCTCTTCTGGTACACTCTCCACCGGCCGCTCCCACCACGGTCTCCTACTTTCCTCATCCGCCACGTTGTCACCGGAATATCCCTCCAACTTCACCGGACTCTTACGAAGATACTTGTCTATCAATGCGTCTACATGGCCAAATCTGTAGATCCTACCGCATTTAGAGAACGTTATGACGGCGATTTTTGCGCCCGTGAGAACGCTCAATTCAGCGGATTTCTTGAACAGCCCACGACGGCGTTTCGAGAACGTTACTTGTCTCTTGGTCTCTTCCTCGATTATCTTGATCTCTATCTTCTGTCTTCCTCGTGTCGTTTTAGGGGTTTGTGTTGTTGTCTCCTTTTTTGGTTGACTAACCAACATGTTAGGGCTTTGAAGTGGATCCTTGGGCGTCAAGCAAGTCATCGTTGAAGTTTCTCTTTCTTCTTCCATGACCACCAAGCGAGAGGGATAGATGAAAATATTATTAGGTTTTTTTTCTTGGTCGTGGGATTTATAGTCGTTCATGATTATGTAATAATAAAGGAAATTGTCTTACTTTTCTTCATTTATGGAAATTTGGTATTAAATGCAATTCCAATTAATTAATATTTTTCGGAATGATTCCATGAATCAAAGATAGCCTTTCGTAAAAATGTAAGACATGTGTTGTCTTATACAAAATTTATAGAAATATATAAATCCGAGATACTACTTTCCATTTTACTCGTTAGTTAGAATCGATTGTGATACACATTATATTTACATAATATATGCATTGTCTACCTAAATATATGTGAATCGCGTTTACTATCACATACACGTACAAACGTAGCATGAAGAACATTATGCCTAATTAACAAAAAAAAAAGAACATTATGCCATGCCAGGCAGAAGAAAAACATATGACGTCGTCTTGCTTACATTAACATTTAAGAATTCCAAATATCACGGTAGAATGTCTAAATGACAAGTTGATCAAATATTCAAATTAATTATCTCATTTGTGGCCAAGAAGTGATTTGATGATATCTTTATTGATTGATTACAAGTGATCCTAATCCAAATAATGATTAATGGGAAATTTTACATTTTGCTTTAGCAAAAAACAAGAAAATTTTACATTTTTGAAGATATTTAGTCCAAATGAATATTGCCAATTATCTTAATAGTTTGAGAGCCATTCAATTTGTATCGGTAATTCAACAGTTTCAGAACCATTCAATTTGTTCAGAAAGCTGAAGAGCAATTTGGATTTGCTTTTGTAGTTTTGAAATTAAGAATTTGGTTCCTTAAGTTTTTTAAAGACCGTCTCGTTCTAAGACTAACTACCCATTTTATTTGGTCATACTCGTTTTTTTTCGTCAAAATTTTGTATTGATAATTTGAATCCAAGGTATACAAACAAAGCCAACAAGAATCGAAATTCTTTCCGAGATAAAGATGGCGAGTACATAAACACTCCCATAAACAAAATCTCATCCCATGAAAGAGAAACAAGGTAGAGAATAAAACTTTGAAAACGAAATAAAGTAGTTAACATCTAAAAAACCAAAGATTTACAACTGAAGACTCTAAACCAAGAGAATGCATCAAGCAATTCTATAAAACAAGGGAGTGCCAAAAAAAGAGTTACGAACAAAAACTTCGAAAAGAATCAATCATTAAACTGCCTCCAAATATCATAGTTTTATATAAATCGACATTTCAACTTGACAAATCAGTACGATAGTCAGCGATTAATGCAAAGAGTGAGTTTTTGTTAATGTCACCGTCCTACGTTAAACCATGTTTATGTAAAAGAAAAAAAGTTATGAAAGTTTTAAACAGGAAGTGGAAAAGTTTGTTCCTGTGGAAGATCCTCTTTAAATTTTGTTTCATTAAATAAGTTAAGGGTAAAAAAGTAAATTACGTAAATTCCTTTCGCCGATTTTTTTTTGACTTGGGTGGTGAACGTCGCAAACTTGAATCAATTTTAGAAGATAGCTTCGACGCTGCAATTGAAAAATCAAATTCTCTCCGACCTCCGAAACTGAGAAGCGCTGAGAGAGATAAATGGCGGCGAAGACGATGAGGAAGGCGGAGGAGCTGGTGGAGAAGGCGATGAAAGGAAACGATGCTTCTCATGACTCCTGGCACGTGTGGAGGGTCCGAGACCTTGCTCTCTCCATTGCTCGCGAGGAAGGTCTCTCTTCCAACTCCGACTCCATGGAAATTGTAAGTTTGAAAAGTCCCTAAATCCCACAATACCCTTAATTGCTCTTCGTTATCTATATCACAGAATGTGAGATGTTTCTTGTCAAATTTCAATTTTTTTTTTCTTACTTTGGGTGAACCATTTCTGGTGATATTTTTGCAGGTGGAACTTGCAGCTCTTCTTCATGATATAGGTACTTCGTTTGATTTATTTTCTATTAAAGTCATGTGTTTATTTATTATATAGTCCACAGTTTGATCATAGTATGTATCTCTTGCCCTCTCTCTTATCAGGTGACTACAAGTACATAAGGTTTGTTTCTCTTAAGTTTTCTTTTCTTTTGAACTGCTTGAGTAGACTAATGTCCCTTCCAACATTCTTGATCATACTTCCACGAAATAAAAGTGTTGACTTTTGCCCCTGAAACTCTCTAGGTTCCCTGTTTTTAACTAAACTGGATGAACAAAGACACTTAGAACTCACAAGTGTTTACTCTGTAATTCGGGACACTTATAAGGTCTACTCTGTAATTCGGGAGCCTAGGCACTAGATTCCATCTGTTTGCAAATCCTATATTGGATGTCATTAGGTGATTTGCTCACCTTAGGATTATTTAGGCTCTACTAGGTGGAACTTTGTGTGGATATAAAAATTAAAACTACTCAACTATGAATGCTGAAGACTGCTTTTCTTCCGCTGATATGTTGCTTCCTGGCAAAAATATGTTATAACCGGAATTCAGAGACCCTTCGGAAGAGAAACTTGTTGAGAATTTCCTAGATGAGGAGGGTATAGAAGAGACCAAGAAGACGAAGATACTAACGATCATCAATGGAATGGGTTAGTTTCCAGCTCCTACTTTTTACTCAACATATCCAATGTACTAATGTGCATGAGTTTTCACTACAATCAAGTGAGATTTTGTAAAAAAAGCACTCCGTTGTATATCAATTTGTGAACAGAACAAGTGTACTGTTTCCAGGTTTTAAAGACGAATTAGCAGGAGTAGCACTCTGCGAATCTCTTCCAGAATTTGGGATAGTTCAAGATGCTGATCGCCTTGATGCAATTGGCGCCATAGGTACAAATACTTCTCTTTTCTTTAGTTCGCTTCTCAACAGTTTATCTGCTTTGATGCCATCTGGAGATTCTCTATGTTAGGGAATTTGTGCTATTAGTTGTTGTTGATCTCTTTCCGTTATAGGAATTGCTCGTTGCTTTACATTTGGTGGAAGCAGGAACAGAGTGCTTCATGATCCTGAGATCAAGCCCCGGACAGAGCTAACCAAAGAGCAGTACATTAAGAAAGAGGAGCAGACTACAATTAATCACTTTCATGAGAAACTCCTCAAGCTAAAGAAGCTGATGAAAACTGAGGTAAGTTTAACCGCAACTCTATTAGACTCGGAAAATTTGTTTCGTTTGAATGTGGGATTGAAAAATATCAGGCGGGTAGAAGGAGGGCAGAGAAAAGGCACGAGTTCATGGAAGAGTATCTTAAGGAGTTCTATGAAGAGTGGGAGGGGTCAACTTGAAAAGTTAAGAATGATGCATGAAGAAGAAAAGCAGAGGTTGTGTTCAACCCGGTTTAAATTAGTAAGATGTACCTACCAAACCAATATGTGGTTTAGGTTTAAAACAGAGTGGCAACTCTATTTAAATACCTCGTGATAACTTTACATTTATAAAATGTTAAAAATTGATTTGCTTTTAAAAAGAAAGAAACTCTTTTAGTTTTTCTTTTGTCAATGCCAATCATTGTGGAAGAAATTAAGCAAGGTTTACATGTTAGAGCCAGTCTTTTTCTTATCATTTTTTTTTTTTTTTGACGCCAAAGTCAGTTGTTGTCTTTTTCGTTAAGGGTTTTATAAAGTCAGTGTTTTTGTTTTTTGTCAACTGGTTTATATATTGACTTTCTATTTTCGTTTTTAAGTATTCTTTAAATTTTATTAGTGGAAGATGATAATGTCTTCTCGATGTTTGAGTGGATTAAGTCATTGCGAGGCTATCATCGGTCGGCCATAATATAGCATTTACATGGTTTGAATTTGTATATTTTTATACCAAACTGACGTGATTTAAAAACGTATTGACGAAAACTTTGTATTAGTAAATGTTATGACGAATACGTCTGTTGGTCTTCTGATACCTAGATAATAGTTTTCATTAGTTGGGTGATTCTTCTTTAAGTCGGATTTTGCAACCAAAAAAAAACAAAAAACAGTTTCTTGGTAGGTAAAAAGAAAATCAGTTTCATGAGAAGAACTTAAGTTGTGAGTATTTAATTTTCTTCGAGCTTAATCATTTCTGGTTTTTTTTTTTTTTTGTCATCATTTCTGGTTATAATTATAAAAACATGTAATAAAATCTATAAAATTTGAAATTATATTTGCATGTGTTATTTTTTATCACGTTATTTCACCAGGAGAAATTCTGTAATCTCAATCCTCCTTTTTCTTTAGGTAAAATAAAATAAATTTGGCCAGCTAGACCTTGGCATCCTTCGATTTCTCCTAAAGACTAGCTCTACAGTCTAGTGATTTGTATTAGTTTCGTGCCTGTGTTATCATATAAGTTCAAATACCATTTTACTGCTTTAAGTTTTTTTTAATGATTGTTTGATTATATATTAAATAAATCTTTTACGATAATTTTCATACAATAATCTTTTTTTTTACATACAATTATTTCCCCTAGGTTGTACTTTTCTTTCAAAATCAAATAATATTTGGAAAGAGAGTTTACTTCGTACACAAGGAAATCCTGTTGAATTTAATAAATATATATATATATATATATATATATATATATATAATGCATCGAATGGGATTGGTCACGTTTAGCCAAGTCGTTTGGTTAATATAATGTATAGTATTAAAAAGGACTAATCGCGTATAGACTTCCATTACCATTCTACATAACACATGTCTAACATCCAGAGGACTAGTGATTCAAATCATCGAAGTGGTCGGCCATTACGTGTTCAATTTGTGTTTTAATAAAAAGAAATTATAGTTAATAAAAAACTCAAAACGTTTATGAAAAAGATGAATTTTCTAGATTCAAAAAAAAAAAAGATGAATTTTCGATTTAAGGTTGGAGTGCCTTTAAGCGTGCGATCATCTCATTCTCACTGAGATGCGTGTGCATACGGTATGTGGTCATTTCTGCATGGCATAATCTTTTTTCCCCCAGTTTAACATACCTTAGAACGGAGAGTGAAATATGTTGGTACAGCAAAACTTGCCCATAAGGTTTAATAGTAATTTTGGCATTTCCTTTCCCTAAGAATGATTAATTAGAAATCTATATAATTTACGAAGAATTCCTATTGATTTAAGAATTAGTCGTATCTTATCGGAATTCTGAAGCCGGATCAAGTTTAACTAATATATATCATCATCGTGAAATGTATATGGCTGTAATGTGGTCATGTGGACCCAATCTCTCACTCCATGTGTTTAGCGTGCACCTACGACATTCCATCACAAGAAAAAAAAAAACTTAAAAAGCACGAGTCGATTAACTAAGATACCATAAATAATAATAATAAAAAAATACAAATTACTAATTTTACTGTAATAATGAAAAAGAAAGATACCATAATATTAACTAATTTTACTGTAAATATAGTTTACCCGGTTAAAAACTAATTATATAGTCTTAATTAAAATATTGCAGAATTTAGAAAATTAATTCTGAAAGTGACCCACAGAAAAGGAAATTGCCTTTTCTGGAATTTAAAAATATTTGACAATTAGAAAAGGTGAAAAGTAAAACTATTACATATTTGATGTATATATTAATGTATTAAAGAAAAATCAGAAGACGCAAAAGGTAATTGCCTTTTCTAACGAGTAAACGAGGTACTTTAAAACGACCGCGTATAATAAAGTCTATAAATAAAAGGCAAATTAGCGCCCAAAAGGTTAACAAATAAAAGCAGAAAGCTAAATTAAATTATTTTACCATTTTAACATAACAACAGGTCTCCCTCCGACTTGGTCACATCCTTGGACGGCTCCACTCTTCTCCTCTATCATCTCCCCCGAATCGTCTTCGTCGTTGTTATCTCCATCTCCAGAATTCGGAAATTTCTGGGAATTTCGATTTTGATTTCTATTTCTTCGCGCTCTTATTTTCTCTGTCTGCTCGGCTGTTTCTCTCTATCGACTGATTCAGGGAAATCGGGGTCAAACCGGCTCTGAGCTATCTCTTCAGGTTCGAAATTTACAGATTTTATCTGGTCTGATGGGATCAGAGCCTCGGTTCGAACCGAGGCCCGAACTGATTGACTTACCCGTTCTTCAGAAATTCAAGCTCTACGCTACTCCCTCGGTAACATAATCTCCTCCTCTTTCTCTTTTAATTTGGGTCCGATTATTGATCTGTGATTATGTGAATCTTATTCTTCTTCTTTGTCTCTTTTTAAATTAATGTTTATTTGCATCAATGTGATTCTTTTTTTTCCGGCAACTGATTTACCGGTAATTGCGTTGACACTGTTTATGGTTTATGGATTTTCATTTTGTTTGACATCATTATTGCTTAATAATTCCGGTTTTTGGATTCGAATTCTCTAATACAGATTTTGGTTTATTTTTCGATGAGTCTGTTTGCTTGGCGGTTTCATATGGTTGTAGTGTAAGCCATGAATGAGAGAGAGCCTTTAGCTTGACATAATGTAGAGTCTTTGGTTCTAAGTTTTTTCTATAATTTTAGCCTGTTGCTTCATGAGTTTTAGTGGAAAATTCTTGATTTTTCTGATGTGAAATCACTACATTTTGACTTTGAAGTTGTTGAATAAATTGGTTGTTGTGCAGAATTTTTATTTGATTGGAAGAGATGAGAACAAAAGCTTTAGGAGGATTCTTAAGATTGATCGAAGAGACCAAAACGAGTTAAATTTGTTTGAAGATCCTACAAGGTATACAAAAGAAGAAATGCGCGAACTGAAAAGGCGGATGATTGTAGGGAATGAGGAGTCTGGTGGGTTTAAAGCAATCACAACTTGCTATGGAATCATTGGTAAAGTCTCTTTACTACTACTGTGAGTTGTCCTTTCTCATTGTTTTGATAACGTTGTGAATTCATGGAGCAATACTGATTCTTCTGGTGCAGGATTTGTGAGATTCTTGGAGCCTTATTACATGTTGGTGATTACAAAAAGAAAGAAAGTGGGTGAGATCTGCGGCCATACAGTTTATGGTATAGCTGAGAGTCAAATGATCGCGATTCCACATCCTTCCATTCAGACAAAAGTGGCTAAGTCTGAAGCCGAGCAAAGGTATTTTAGGGATAATTCTACTAACAGTTATGTTATCCATATGAAAAACTCTCTTATGTAAACTTTAGTCGAACACATTATCCAACATGTATTCCCCTTTCTATTATAGGTACAAGAAGCTCCTAAGCGTGGTGGATCTTAGCAAAAACTTCTACTTCAGCTACACTTATCACCTCATGTATTGCCTTCAGAAGAACATAGGCAACACTGAGAGAGGAAACGCTCATGACAACACAATGTTTGTGTGGAACTCCTTCTTAACACGAGAGATCAGAAAGATCCTGCAGAATTCCATATGGACAGTTGCATTGGTATACGGATTCTTTCAACAGGTAATAATCAGATGTATGCCTATGTGAATGGTTTAGACTGGAGATTTTTCAAAAAGTTTGGTAATCTAACGTCTATTGATCCTTTACTTTGTCTAGACTAAATGTTCAGTATCTGGTGAAGATTTTGTTTTCACTATCATTGCTCGGCGTTCACGGCATTATGCGGGTACAAGGTACTTCTTCATTTTGAAAGCTTTACTTGCTATGTTCTTCTTCTTCTTTGTTTTTTTTTTTTAATTTTGCCTCACGCCCTACTTGCTCTCTAACATAATTGTAATATTGGACTTACGCATTACCCATATTTCAATACTCCTTCTGAAAGATAGGGGCTAGTCTTGATATGCCTTTGATCTTAACTCCTCCTTGTTAATGTGCAGATATTTAAGGCGTGGTGTAAATGATATAGGCAGAGTGGCCAATGATGTTGAGACGGAGCAGATTGTTTCCAAAGTGGTTCCTGCGGGTCAGAAAATCCCGATAACATCAGTTGTGCAGATTCGAGGCTCCATACCCCTATTTTGGTCACAGGAGGCATCTGTTTTCAACCCACAGCCCGAGATTATATGTAAGCACCATATGAATTTTCAAAAAGGATCCTTAGTTTTTTCTTATCTTGTCTTAATACTCTTGTTTTTGTCTTTTTGGGTCACAGTGAATAAGAAGGACGCAAATTATGTGGCTACCCAACACCACTTTGAGAATCTGAGACAGAGGTATGGGAGCCGGATAATAATTCTGAACCTCCTAAAGGTAGGTTCTCTCATACATATTCTAGGAAACTCAAATTTCAGTCATTGCTTCTGCCCGTTCTTGGATTATTGAAAGATTGAGTGTATTGTTGCTATTTTGTGTTATCAGACTGAGACAGGTGAGAAAAAGCATCGAGAAACCAGCTTAAGGGCAGAGTTTGCAAAGACAATCCGCTTTATTAACAAAGGCATGGACAAGGAGAATCGTTTAAAGGCAATTCATTTTGATCTAAGCAAACACTACAAAAAGTACTGCATTTATGCACCTATTACTGATTTGTAATTAAGTCTAATTTCCTAGAATTGCTAACCATTTTTCCTTCAATTTGGCAGAGGAGCTGATGGTGCATTCAACCACTTGTGTATCTTTGCAAGGAAAGCATTGGAATTAACTGACCTGTTTTACTGTAAAGCTCCTTCAGGTGTAGGAGCTGAAGGAGTAATTTATGATTCATTTTTCAAGTAAGTTTGCCAGTTTGCTATGCTATGTCTATTGCAAATACAGTCTTCGTGTAACAGTAGTTGTATGTTTACTGCATGTCTCCCGAATACATAATTTTGATTGTATTGCACATGTCTTACTAAGTCCTAATATTAATGCTACCATGCTCCAGTAACCCTATTCCAAATCAAGATGAAGAGGCGAGTAGTCCAGATAAAGAAGCTTTGAAGGCGGATATATTTATGCTTCAAAATGGGGTCTTGAGGACAAACTGCATAGACTGTCTGGATCGCACAAATTTTGCGCAGTACGCCCACGGATTGGTAGCTCTTGGGCATCAGCTGCGTACATTGGGTATCTCAGGACCTCCTGTCGTTGATCTTAATAATCCTCTGGCAATAGAACTGATGGACGCTTACCAAAAGATGGGTAATACACTTGCGCTGCAGTATGGTGGCTCGGAAGCACACAGCAAGGTGAATTGATTACCAACACATTTTTCCTACTAGGCTTTTGATGGATCTTTGAACTATCTGTATCAACTTTAGAAAGTTTATGGTATGCAGATGTTCTGTGATCTGAGAGGTAACTGGAACATGGTGATGAGGCAGCGTGATATCTTCACAGCTGTACGCCGTTACTACAGTAACGCGTATCAAGACAGTGATAAGCAGAACGCCATCAATGTGTAAGCTCCATTTTAGAAACTTTTTGTCTCATTTTTTCGTCTTTACATTTGCTTCGTGTTCGTTTAGTGTAAATATTATTTCTGTTGACAGGTTCTTGGGGCATTTCCGGCCTCGATTGGGGAAGCCAGCACTATGGGAGTTGGATTCTGACCAGCACAACATCGGAAGATCTGGTTCTAACTTGGATATTGAAAATATGAGGTACTACTTTTGTTGAAAAATTGGCTAAACCAGAAATTAGTCTAAATTAAGTGACACTTATATGATTGATATATCGTCTGATACACTTATATGAATTGCAGGCCACTAATTAGAAGATCATTTTCCGATAATATTCTTATGGATTGTGATCTGAATCTGGAGGAGCTGGTACGCGAAAATTCTCAGCCTTCTTATGAAGGGTTAAACGGGGGTGTCTCAGGAACCAATTTAGAGTTTCCATTCTATGAAACTGAACCAGCTTCTCTAAGGTTTGAATCAGAGTCTCTTTAACTTGTTGCAAGCATTCATTAACATACTTTTTCTAATTATTCATCCTCTTTCTTTGATCACATCTTCAGCTTCCTCTCGGTTATGCGAAATGAAGATCTTCTCAGAGAAACAAGGTCAGGGCAGATGTTTGAAGGCAGTTCCTCTAATTCTGATTCCCACAGGCCCAATGATATACCTGGTTTTGCACACTCATACGCAACTAAATTCACTCCGGCAGAAGAAATATTTGAACGTGGCAGGTAAAAACATTCATCCATAAGCATTATTGCTATAGCATTCTGATACATTTACGATATTCAGACATGAAACTTCCTTCTAAGTAGGTCTTCTAATAATGTTCTAAATGTTTCTTGCAGCTCAAAGTCTGTTTCGTCAGATAACTTGTTCACCGACCTGGATGAATCCGTCACTTCTTTAACTAATACGAACTCCAGTTTTGACGTAAATCTCCTTCATCTACATATCATTCTTATTTAAGTTAACGATTTATCTTCTAAGCTTTCGCAAACAAAGACACTGACTCGTTCGAAATTTCCCATTATTTACAGTTTCCTATAACTGGTGGTTCCGATTTGCTACCTGGTTTCTCAAATGATTTCGCTCGATGGGTATTCTCCGCAAGAGCATGGTAAAGAGGGTTTGGAGAAGAAAACGAGCCTTGCACAGGAAGGTAACGGTGGTTACTTGGCAGGTACGGCAGGGTTGAACAGTGTCGTAATAACAGGAAAGCACAGAATAACAGCCACATCTTGTAAATATCCGACTCACCTTTGTAAAGGTCCTGGTTTCTTGTTTTTTCACCAACAACCACAAAAGTTGAATTTGTTTTTATGTTTTTGGTAATATATAGAGTGTTTGGTTTTTTTGTTTTACCATTTTTTCGTAATTTATTACGGCCAATTCTTGAACCGCAATAAATTGTGTTATTAGACCTTGGAAAGTGGAAACCATTGTATTGAAAAATTACCTACAAACTTAACATATCATCTTGATAAAATCATTACCAAAAAAGTTTCTTTAAAGGTAAGAGGCTTGATTTTCGAGACCGGCTGATTTGTAACAAATCTGGCCCATAACACTTTATGTTAGGCGACAGGGTCCTCGTAGTGAGGTGGTTATACCACCTTAGGCTATCTTATCACGTGTAAACACACCTTTCTTTATAGAGTTAAAAATGTGGACAAGAGAAAAAGTGTAACAAGATTAGAAAGTTCTAGATCCTATGTTTCAAACTTTTAACTGGCTGGTTAAACCAGAAAAGGTGTAACGTACTCTTGAAGAACAACAACATCCCAACTGGCTAATTTGCTCTTGCAACTAACTTATTTGTTCAGAATATTTTATTTAATTCTTATCATTAAATATTCTGATTTTGTTGGCTGTTGGCTGGCAATTGTTCGCCCACCAAAACCAAAAGCTGTCGGATCTTTCTGAGATTAATAAAAAAAATACACTTCTTTTCTTCACTGTTTCGAAATTCAATTCGATCAGGTTGGATTTAACTAAACAATAAAAGTTCAATCAGTTGAGTTGGTATGTTAGACACTACATTGTCTACGAGAACCAGGGGTTGTGTCTACAGTTCAGAATATACCAAACGAGTTCTTCATTATAAAATTATAGCATTAAGCCATTAAGTTTTGAATTTTCTATATCTAAATTATATTACCATTCTAAAAAGTATAATATTGCACATCACCCTTGCTTGGTCCGATTCATTGCACAACAATACACAAGAGGAGCTTGTCCAGCTCACACACACACGTATGCACATATCAACATGCATCCACACACCTATATATAATATATAATATATAATATAGATTATTAAATTTAAATAGCTCAAGGAGAGACACCAGTTTTACGGATTCTGGAGCCTTAATCTTTCTTAGCTGTTCTCTTTCTCTCCCTGTCCCTCAATATAAATACAAAAGAACCCAATACTTCCTTCTTACGTACCAAGAAAGCTAGTTTCTCATCTCCAATACCAATTCCTGATAAATACACACACAAAAACAATAACTCCAATATCAAGAAACTACTATTGTTAAAAATCAGAGATTTTCACTAATGGCTATATTCGGGAAACTGACAAAGCTCAAGTCCGCCTTAAAGAAATGGCCTTCCTTGACGAAGAACCACCATTCAACCATATCTACAGCCGCACCAGAGGTCTCAAAGTGCGAGGATCTCCATGTGGTTTACGTCGGAAAGTCACGAAGACCTTACATGCTTAGTTCCCACGTCATCTCTCATCCGCTTTTCCAAGAACTACGTGACCGGTCTACGAGGTTCACCGAAGAACACCACGATCAGGAGACTGTTGTCTTATTAGCTTGCGAAGTCGTATTGTTCGAGCACTTGTTATGGACTCTCAAAAACAGTTCATCTGATCACGGTGATGATGATGATCACGAAAGAGGATCCGTCGAAGAGTTGGCTGAGTTCTATACTTATTGACGGCGCAATACATTTTCTTATAATATATACTTTATTTTGTTAATTATGTTTTGGAATTGATTCGACATTGATCCAATGTGGTCATGCACAAACCATTTCCTTTGCCTTTGTTTTTCCCCGAGCAAATTTTTAGAATTAGTAATCTTTTAACTAATATTGTTATTATGTCGGTCGAAAGAGGGTAGTAGTGTCTTTCCCTAATGATAATAAATTGTAACAATGTGAAAATTTGATCTTTTATTGACAGCTTTGCTCCATTTTATATACATCATGACTACATGTACTCTACAGTACGTATTTATTTTCGTAAATGCATATGTTATGAGATTTTCGAAAGAATAAAATTCGCCGCCAATCATGATGCGCAGGGCTACTCAATTGCACGGACGGTCCTACTTGCCTTTTCTTGTGGGCCTGTGGCAGCAAAGCTGTCATGGATAATTTAATACTACGTCTATAACTATAAGTGTATGCAAGTTGTAATTTAGTGTACTTAGACTTAGGTATAAACTTCTTCCAGTAATTTAATTAAACATGACTGCGATGTGAGTATGTATAGCTCCTAATTAGGATTCGAGTATAGTTTTTTTTGTTTTGTAATATAAATAATTAAATATAGGATGCTCTTTAACTCGACCACCATAAAATAAAGTATCCTTTAATCATTTATGTAGTTCTTTATATCTCACGTCAATCTATGTAGATAATGTGATATCGTTGCCTTGAATATAATATTTTTCATAGTCGTACGCCTACAAAGAATTCTGTATATTTTACACGTTGAAAAATAATATATATATATATACATATATATTAATATATATTGGAATTTCTTAGTTTATTTGACTATTTTCATGGTTAGTTTTACGAATTTTCTTTATAAAAAATAATGGATAATTGGATATATATTAAAATATAAAAGTAGTTTACTATTGGGCAATGTATTGGAGAACATGGGCCAAATAGGCCCATTTTGTAAGATTGGTCTCGTGCTTATAGTAGAAACGGCGACGTGCAGCTTGGTGGTCTTCAAGTTTGACTGTTAATCGGTAAACCGAGGCTGATTGTGCGACGGTTGCGCGACGGTGACGGCAAATCCAGTGAGTGAGTTCCAATCATCTTCGCTGCATTTAATGTAAACCCTAAAAAAATTTAGATAATTTTTGTTTGTCTTTAGCATTTGGCGACAAGTTGTTTTTGTAGCCGTCTGCATTTGTGATTACTTTATCGTTTTTTGGCTCACAAGGTGTTTGTTGAAATGCTTCAAAGGGTGAACTGATAGTCTTAGTCACCAGCCTATGGTTTCTGTTTATAATGCGTCAACTTCTGATATAGCTAATCTTTAAAAGACATTACCTTTTATACATTTCTGGATCATTGAGGTTTTGCGTGTGTTATTTGGTGATTAACATTGAAAATACGAGCTTTAGTTGGTAACAGTCATTGTTTTATATCGTACACAAGCTTTCTTCGTTTTTATCTAGGAAAGCAGCTACAAGACATGTCAAGGTTTCGATCGTTGTTGCAAGCCTCAGTAAATGCCACAAAGAAGGGTATTCACCTGCCACTTTTTCGTCAATTATGATGCCTCGGACTTGATTCTTTGATCTTTTAGGCTATTGCTTCTACTTATAAGACAGTGACTGATAGCAACTGATGTTTGAGGAAAAAATTACGGTTGTTCTATGTTCCAATGCTTACAACTTTTGGGATCACCCTTATATTTCTATACTAGCCTTTATGCATGTAGCAGAAAAACTTGCTAGTTTCTAACTTATCTTCACCCTGTAAACTGTTAGCTCTTACATGGAACGTTGAAGAATGGGTGCCACCTGCAGAGAAGCATATATTTAAGTTCCACTCGAAAGAGGACTTAAAGAAATGGCATCTCTATTCCGATTCTGAATATGGAGGTACTTAAGCCGACAGGTTCAAGCATCTGCTCCGTAAAGAATATCTGATATTGTTTCTGTTGTTATTATCCCTTTCATTTTCATGCCTGGTGATCCATATGAACAACTGCTGAGACAAAATAAGATTTCTGAAGATCGGCATTGCACAGATTTTCATTGATATGTAAACAATCCGCAATGCATTTTAATATTTATCTAGTGGCAACATTTTTGATACTTATTTTACAGGATTATCTTCGGCTTCCTTGGAGATCCCAGATAAAGAAGATGGATCAGATTGCACTGGTTAGCAACTTAGTAATTTCTTCTGTGCTCTATCTTCTGCCCTCCACCATGTCTTGTTGTCATGAAGTTCATCAATAAAACAATATGATATTTCTTCTATGTTATCATTTCTTAATTTCTCGTTGTGTTTCTACACTGCTCCACTTAGTGATGTTTTTCATATAAATATTTGTTATAGGAATTTTCTCGGGGAACCTATCTGTAGACCTTAGTGAAGGATCAAAATGGAACATCAGTCGAAGTGGTTTCTGTGGAATGCGCTCAAAGAAGGTTAACAACACAGAGCTTTCATTTTTCTTACAAAAATTCTTATTCAAAACATATTTTATGCATGTCAGTTTTTGTTTGAAGAAAAGAAGGAAAATGGGTTACTATATAAACGGTAGACTTTTTGAGTCAGCTGAGCATACAATTGCAACTAATTCTACCATCCTCTGCTTTGACAGTTTGATGGCTTCATTGATCTCGATGGGTATGATGCAATAGCCCTGAGGCTGAGAGGAGATGGAAGATGTTATATCTCTACCGTAAGTTTTATGTTGATACTTTTCGCTAACTCCAGTTGAAACAACAAATGTCGTAGGAGCAAAAGGGTTGTTATACTAAATCTTGATTTTGATTCAGATCTATACCGAAAACTGGGTGAACTCACCAGGACAAGCTGAAGATAACTCGTGGCAAGCTTTTGTTTTTGCTCCAAAGGACAGTTGGTATACAGCTAAGGCAAGTCCTACTACTTCTATAGATGTTACCAACAAAGAGCTTAGAGCATTTTACACATCCTTTTTTGCTTTTAAGAGATAAAATCTCAGTCTTTAGATGAAACCATAACCAAAAAGACAGATTGTGAGTATGAGTTCACTTGAATGTTTCACTTCTAGTCTAAGGCGTATTAATAGCCTGAGGTTGAATATATCAGATTCCTCTAGCTCGATACTTGCCAACATGGAGAGGAAATGTTATAGATGTGGAAATGGAGATGAATCCAGGTCGTGTTCTGGGTATGTCACTGTCCGTAAACGCAGAAGGTGGTGCGGTTGGAGCTAAATCAGGAGCAGGTGATTTCCGAGTAGAAATTGACTGGATCAAAGCCTTGAGATTGCCGTAAATGTTGAACAATATAGCAATGTATGATGTTTTTGTTGTTCTTGGTTTTAGCTTGTAAAAACCAGGCCTGAGTTGATGATACTTGGTGGCCAAAAGATTGTTGCATTGTCTTGCGGCAAAGTTGGTTTTCACATTGAGCCATGTTTTTACCATGTCATAAAATAAAAATCCAACACAAATGAAAAGGTATTATTAACCTTTTGGTTTTCAGGCTATCCATGTTGGTCAACTAGTTTATAAGTTAACAATGTAATGGTCGTGATTGAATAAGGGAGAGTACGGTAGTACTAGATTGGTGGAGCGAATACATTAAGAAAATTGTATAACGTGTTTCCGTTATGAACTTGCAAAATAAATTGCAATCAGAATATGTATAAGGATATTAATGACTAATGACTAGTATTAGCTTTTAGCTTATTTATTGAAATACTAAAAATGTAATCAAAGAAAAGTCAATAATTTGCAGGTTTTGACTTAATTTGTGAAATCATGCTGTATTCTGTTTTTACAATATAGTATAAAGAAGTAAATGTTTTACATAGGTTAGTAGTTTACTTACCTACTTGAATTCAACCAAATGGTTATATACTCTTTGTGTCCTCTTCTCTTTGATCTCTTTGAGTCTAACTAAACTAAAAGGTTAGATAGAGAGAGACACACGTGTAGTCACCGACTCGTCAGATGGTGGGACAGCTGTTTTTCTTACTGTTCCAATCTGCACCGTTGGATCTGGTTTTTATTTTCGCCTTTTTGTTCTGTACATAGTCGCTTGATGATGCGGTTGTTCCAGTGGATAGCTGGACCCATTAAACCACCCCTGCTTTGGTTTGTGGGTTCCATGGTGAAGAAAAGAAAAGCTGCAAACTTTTGCTTTGTTTGGTACATCTAAACCAATCTAAATTCCTCTTCCGGTTTCAAGGGAAAAGATTTCATGCATTTGAGAACCATCCTGTTCTCATGTGGATTAGTGTTGGTTTATATACTAACCGGTTTGCCCATTTTAAAGATGTATAATACATAGGTAATCAATGAAGTTTGATTTTGATCAATCAATCATTCGTCAAAGTTATATAAAATCAATATACTATTAATGTTAGCAAGTAGGAAAATTAATAAAGAGAGATTAATAATTGACGAAAAGACACATGGGACAAAAGGAAGAAATGAAAGAGAATGAGAAGAACATGTCGCATGTGCTTAAGCTTACGTCATACCGACAATCTAGAAGCATCTTCTTCATCACTGATAAGGTCTCTTTTGTTGTAGGAAATAAATAGATTTTATTTTTCAAATTACTTTTTTTTTTCTTTCTTAATTAGTTGCTTCAAGCTACTTCAATAAGGGGTTAAATGTAGGGTTTGGCCATTTATGGCTTTTAGATGACTTTTGTCACATTTGATTCAATGTTGATGTAGCATATTTATTTGAAAACATAGACACTAATTTGGGCAATGAAAACGATATTTAGATATATCTTTGATAATGTGAAGAACAATAGCTTTTTTCTTTTCTTTTCTTTTTGTTAAAGTGAAGAATAGTATTACGCGTTCACATCACGTGTTTTGTTAATAATTATTCCAAGATTCATATCAGATATTAGAAAATTATATGCACATTATACTGTACGATTTGTAGAAATTATTTTATTATTAGAACTCATTTTCTTATGGTAAAAAAGAAGACTTTATATTCTTACCTATGCGATCGTTAGATAAAACTTTAAGATCTTTTACATGTTGTCATGTAATGTTGATGAGACAATGGGGGTTTTTTCCTGAAAATTTTCCATACATTGAAAAAGAAACATCGCAAAGAAGTGGATAAAATTAAAAACTACGAAATTTTGGACTCAATTATCTTCTACAAGGATTGCCATACAAACAAAAGAAAATAGAGAAAATATATTCTTAAATTTGATCAGAAGAAACAAAAAAAAAAGATACTCCCTCTGTTCCTTTAAGTTTGATGTTTTGGGTTTTGCACATAAATTAAGAAAAAGTAATTTTTATATTATTTAATTATTTCTTTGTTTGTTTAATAATTTTAGTTACACTTCTCTCCTCTTCCTATTGGTTACAATTAAAAGTAATAATATTATTATTACAAAACATCAAACTTTGTGGAACAAAAAAAAAATCTTAAAACATCAAACTATTAGGAACAGAGGGAGTATGAGGTTGACAAAATTAAACAAAAATAAATAAATATAAATGCGACTTTCGATTCGTTGTCTCTCTCAAACGTATTAATAAATAAGTTTGTTTCCCAAAAAAAATAGTGTGACCGTTAAAAATCGATCATTGGATGTTTCCATGTTTGGTCCACATTGTGTAGAGCCTTGACCACATCTCTCCAACTGAGTTTGCTTATTACAAGATTGCCCCCATTCCTAATAAACCACTACCTACACCAAAATTATGAAATTAATTAACCAGATACGTTGAGAGTAATTACACTGGTCAATCCAAAGTCCAAACTACTAATACAATCGAATATCTAGCAGGTTTGATGTAGAAATATATAGAGACAACATGGTACAAACCGGGTTTTATTGTATTGATAAACCCGGTTTACTTGAAGGGTAATTTGGTAAAATAAAAATTGGGTGGTATCTTCGTCTTGACTACTACTACTCTGCGTCATTTCGTATTTTGCCCATTACAGACTGTTATGTTACGCCAAGGGAAAAATAAAAGGTGAAAGGTGTCCCAAGCAAGCTCTCTCTCTCTCTCTCTCTTTCTCCACACGTTATATATCCTACAGTATTCTTACACAAAGAGACTGTGTGTTTCAGGGCTTGGATAGAGAGAAAGAGCAAAGAGAGATAAAGCAAACGTCTTCTTCCATTTGGTAGAATAAAAAAGATTGCATTTTTCAGCAAAACCTCCATTTGGTAGAATAACAAGTATTCAGACACTGTTAAGGCTTCTTGTGCTTTTTTTTTCTCTTCAACACCCATATCTGAGGATCAGAACTCAAGTTTGGAGAGTGATCGGAAGAAATCGAATTCTGTTAAATGCTGGATCGGTTATGTCGTAAGTTCGTCAACTCTTTTTTCTTTTGTATTTGCTCAAGTTTCTTGCTTTTGATTATTTTACCATCGGATTCTGCAATTTAGCATTAATTCAGCGTGTTCTAGAGATGGATTTTTAGTATCAGAATTTTAGGAATTCTGTTAAAGTTTGGAATTTTGGAATTTGTCTTTTCGGTTTAGTGTTGGGGTCAGATCTGGGAAGCATCCGTTTCAATTTTTGTGGTTAATGGAGCTGCGTTACTTTTATCTATAGTTGTTGAATTGATTTCTGTTTGGTATTTTTAGGTAAAGCTTTTGTATTGTTACATTTAATTTACTTACTAGTCTTATGAGATTGACCAGGTTTGTTTGATTAACACTCAGTTTTACTCTTTTGTGGTTTTCCTCAGGTTCTTATGAATGATTCACATTTTGGTCTAAGAAAGAGGCTTTGACTTGTGTCATAAACATGAAGCCTGATACTGTTCTTGACTATGCTGTGTTTGAGCTTTCCCCAAAACATTCGCGGTGAGTAAATCTTATCCTCTTAGTGAAATATTCTCTGTATCAATGACCACGCTTTGTAGTTTGGTCTCAGTTTAATATCTATGTTACAGATGTGAACTGTTTGTATGGAGTCATGAAGAAAGAGAGAAACTAGTTTCAGGATTGATAGAACCATTTGTGAATCATTTGAGAGTTCTCCAATCACAAGCTTCGCAGAGAGACCAATGCTCTGTTAGACTCGAAGTAGAACAAAGCGAAAATGGCGAATCTTGGTTCACAAGAAGAACACTCGAGAGGTCTCTCAAAGAACATTTTGTTTTCTTACTTTTACACAAAAATTTGTGTTAGCTTAACAATCTTTGACCTTTTCTTATTGTTCTTTTCCAGATTTGTTCAATATGTTAATAGTCCTGAAGTTTTGGAAAGAGTCATTACATTTGATTTGGAAATGTCACAGTTGGAAGCAGCTCGGACATTATATTCTCAAGGTGTGTTTCATTTCTCATTAGCTTGATCATATTCATAGCTTTACAACTGACCAAACGTGATACTATTTTTTTTCTCTCTCCTTTTCTGTTTCAGACGATGGAGGCGTAGCAGATGCAACAAAGTAAGTATATGTCTCTGCTTTTACACTGAATCATATTGTGTGTGTAAAACTGTTTTGTTGATTGCTTTTCTTTGTATATGTACAGGAAGGAGCTAGTAAGAGCTATAGATTTAAGACTCGAGGCAATAAAAAAGGACTTAACCATGGCGATTACTCACGCGTCAGCTAATGGTTTTGACCCTCAAACTGTTTCTGATCTCCAACATTTTGCTGATAGATTCGGCGCACATCATTTGGAGTAAGCTATTTTTTTTCTTGGTGTTTCATTTTCTTTGCAACTATGTTTTGATTCTGATCAGAATACATATCTTTTATCAGTGAAGCATGCGGCAAATATATTTCACTATCGCAAAGAAGACCAGACCTCATCACCAAGAACCTAAATACCAATACACAAACATCACTCAGTGAAACAAACATATGTCAACATCAAGATACTAAGAGCACTAACACTGATGAAGAGGAGAAAAAAGAAGAGAGTATGGAAGAATCTTCGACGGTTAAGACCATTCATCATACAAGGAGACTTAGCGTACAAGATAGGATTAACCTCTTTGAGAGCAAACAGAAGGAAAACTCAAACTCTGCAGGAAATAAACCGGTAGTCGTTGCGAAATCCACAGAATTGAAGAGACTTTCCTCTGATGTCTCATCAACTGCTCCTGCACTCCCTGAGAAGTCTGTTTTGAGAAGATGGAGCATTGTTAGTGACATGAGCTTTGATTTTACAATGGATAACAAGAAGTCTGATAGCGGTAGCAACACAGAAGGTCCCTTAAGTACACCTTCGTCCATTCCTGATACCACATTCCCCAAGGAGTCTGAAGAGAACAGCAAAAAGGACGATGATGATGAGTATTCTACTAAATCTGATGATTCTCAAAACCAGACTGATAAGCCAGGGAATGTCATGTCTGATGGCAATTCCAGACAGAGAGAAGAGGAGAGCTATGCTTCCAAATCCCACAATGTGGCACAATCATCAGTCATATTTCCTTATCACCATTCCCGTTCTCGTTCAGCTCATATAGCAGGTGGTATTGATATCAAAAGTGATGAACGTCAATCAAAAGGCAGGAAGAAAGAGCTGTTTCTATCAGACAAGAAACAAGCCTTGACAAGTTCTCCAAAACCAGTTTCTGCAGGTTAGTTTTAGCAGAATAGTTAAAAGAATATATAGAGTAATTCTCCAAGAGAGTTTTAAATTTACAGTATCTTGAAAATCATATCAAAGTCAAGGTTTTGAATACTTAAACTGATAGCTTTTAACTGTACATCTTAATGATTCTGCAGGGTCTGAACAGAGACAAAAATCATTTGGTGTGGAGGATGATCTTGAGGATAGTCTCGTGAATGCAGAGTCAGGTGGGGAAAATGACAATAACAGAGTTCGTGCGACATCTGTGGATCAAACAAAAAGGACAAGAATGTCTAGAGAAAGCCCTCCAAGGTTTAATGATGAGTTGACAATGAAAGCAAAAGATCTTGAAAAGATTTTCGCAGAGCATCAACTACGGATTCTTCCAGGGGATCAATCAGCTGGTGACGATAAAGACAACAGGAATGTTGTAATGCGCCGGAATTTATCTGAGTTAAGATTTTCAGATGATTCTAAAGGAAAGTTGTATGAAGAGTATATGAAGAAGAGGGATGCAAAACTAAGAGAAGAATGGAGTTCAAAAGAAACAAAGTTGAAGTCAATGCAAGAAGCTCTTGACCAAAGTAGAACCGAGATGAAGGCTAAGTTTTCTGCTGCTTCCATGAAGAGGCAGGATTCGATATCAAGTACCCGCCAACGTGCAGAGAAATTCAGATCTTTTAATTCTCGGACAAGTTCAAAAAAGTTTCAGGTAATCAAATCATTTAGTTTCTTTGATGATGATGACAACAAATTTTTGTCTAATTATTTTGCAATTTGATTTAGTGATTCTTCTTAATCTTTTACAGCATCCTATAAGCTCATTACAGAGTGAAGAAGAAAACGAAAAAGATAAGCCAGTCAGTGGACAATCCATTGGAAAAAGTGCTTCTAGGAGCTCCCAAAATAGAAAGGTTCCATCACCAAATCCGAGCTCCCGAGTCTCGAAACCAGCAGGTAAAGTTTCAAACGCAAACATTAATACTTGCGGGAGAGGACGAAAAACATCAGAGATAAAACTGGTTACACAATCTTCTCTCCCCAAATTCTCTGATCTTAAAAAGGAAAACACAAAACCATCTTCCTTAGCTGGTAGAAATACAACTACCATGATGCGAACACAGGTGAGAAATGGTAATAAGAAGACTACAAAGGATGATATACCGCCTCCTGTTATGCCTCGAAGACCACGATCACTAAGGAAAAGCTTCTCTGCAAATATAGAATTCACAGAGTTGACAACTCTGTATTCTGATGATATGAACAAAGAGAGGAATCAGAAGCAGAACACAGACATTGATGATGTATCAGAGAATTTGAAAATCGAAGAATTTGATGACATTGAATCCGAGGCTGAAGAAGAAGATAAAGAAGTTTTGGAGAATACTGTCAAAGATGAAGAAGAAGCTAGAGAAATGGAAACTCTAGTAGTTGAGGATATTGGTGATGAAACCCCTTCACTTACTGAAATAGTTGAAAACTCATCAGAGGATGGAAATTACACTTCTTTGAGATCAGTTTCTCATATAGACTTACCGGTGAATACTCTACCTTCTTCAACATTGCAGCATAATTTTGCCTCGTTATTGGATTCACCAAGTGAGAGTCCTCTTTCATGGAGCTCAAACTTGCAACACGCGTTCTCTTATCCGCACGAGCACTCGGATGTTGATGCTTCGGTGGATGATTCTCCTATGGGAAGTCCAGCTTCTTGGAGTTCAAGAATGAGAAAGAAATGGGGAACAACAGCTCAGAGTCCTGTTATTGTTCCCAACTCTCGAAAGGATTTAACGAAAGGCATCAAACGTTTTCTTAAGTTTGGGAAGAAAACTCGTGCTGCGGATAGTCTAATGGATTGGGTTTCTGTAACAACATCTGAAGGAGACGATGATTTTGCTTATCGATCATCGGATGAGTTAAGAAAATCAAGAATGGCATCTTCTCAGAGTCAGCTTTCTGAGGATGAACAAGGTACAAAATCTTTACATTTCAGCTTCATTTAGGTCTTAGAACAATGTCATGAAATTTCTCTGATCATAGCTTTGTCTTATGTGTTTCAAAGCTTCAAACAACTCGATTCATGCACATCATCATCAAGCAAGCTTTAAAGTGAAAGATGGGGATTTTAAGCGATCATTCTTCTCACTTTCTACATTCCGCAGCAAAGGAAACGACTCGAAGCCAAGATAACAGAGAAACAGAGCTCAGGTCTTTATGTTTTCATTTACACCTGCACAAGTAAAAAGTTTGTAGTGTTGAAGGAAAAGTAAAAACTTGTTGATTTTATAATATGAAATGAGATAACATAATTTTGAGAGGTAAAAACTTCAATTTAAAGATACATATAAAGTACATGAAATCTAGAAGGTTCACAAATAACCTAAAGTCACTGATCAGTTCACAGTTAATGGTTCCAAATAAGATATACGAACTCGTTCGTGACCCACTAAATAGGATTTAAGTTAAATCAAAGTAAGGAAAGAGAAAGTGCAAAAACGTAAACCGTAGTTAACAAAAGAAAAAACGTGGAACACAAATCACAAACCCACAGCTACATGATAATATTATAACAAGAACATCAGTTAAAAGAAAAGCAAAAGATACAATAAAGACGTTACATAACAACAAAAAAGAAGAAAGAACTCTTCTCTCAAATACGGCTCCAAGGAAGATCTCACTGGTAGTACATGAGCTGCTGCGCGTTCTGGAAACCACCGTCATATATTGCCTGGTTTGAGCCAGTGGCTCCCATTGCAGCTTGTTTAAGAGCATGTTGTCCCTGCGGGTGATGCATCAGCGGATTCATTCCTGCCATCTTGCTCATCGCTAGTTGCCTCTCGTAAGCCAAGAGATCGCTGGCTGAGAATCCCGGGATTGGTGCAGGAGCTGGTGGAGGAAGCGGGTTTGAAGCTGTTCCTGGTGGAGTAGGCTTGCTTCCCCAAGAACACTATGGGAACAACAAACACGAGATTTTTAGCATTCCTGAACCAAAAAAATGGTTTAAGTTAGTTAGTTTTACCTTCATTTGCCTGCCACTGAGGTAGGAATGCGTATTTCCCATCTGAATAGCGAGGGCTGCCTCTACATGAGTAGAGTATCTCACAAATCCGAAACCTTTGTCTCTTTGAACACGGACTTCCTCTATGACCCCAGCACCGAGGGAATGAAAGTGGCGGTGAAGATCAACCTGGGACACCTGGATCCCCGAACGAAAATATCTTTGTTTTTAATAAGGTATGGATGATGGATGTGTTAAGTCACATAATGTTTTTTCCTATTTTACCTCTGGAGCAAGATTACCGACGTAAACAGTCGTGTACTGAGCATTGTTCTCAGGAGCTTCACCATTAGTAGTATCTTTACCATCCTCTGCAGGAACAAATACGCCAATGTATAAACATCAAAGGGTAAAATTAAGAGCATTTGAGGCTTTCTCTGTTTCCATTTGATTTTCTATTTTATGAAAGGTAATAGTTAAAACATACCCGAGACACCACTGGTAAGTTCCACGACACTTTTGGAATCAGAGCTCTGTTTGTCCTCACCAGAAGTGGCTCCTTTTGTCGCCCAGTTGCAGCGTATCTGCCTGGAACCAAGCCATTTCCCTGAAAGCAGAAGAGAATACTCTCACCAATTACAATAAGCCAAAAAAAAGCTAAATAACAATTAAAATCAACTATCAAGGGCAAAACAAATTGCAACACTCACCAGTTATTTCATCTATTGCAGTCTGGGCATCCTGCACAAGGAAATAAGAATTGCAGCAATCGATAAGTGATCAAGGTAAAAGCCAATCTATACACAAGGACTGAGAGTTAGGCAGTCAAGTACCTGCTGATTACGGAACGAAACAAATCCAAATCCTCTTGAACGCCCAGTTTTCTGATCCCACATAACTCTTGCATCCCTACATACAACAGCAATTGTCAGAAGAGTTTGTGCAAATCTTAAACTTCCATTTTCAATACAAGAATGCTCATGATGGCATAAGCGTTGTGCAACTAAAAAACTTACGAGCAACTCGGGTAGACAGAGAAGCAATTAAACAGCATTGCATCAGTAACCTCTGGACTCAAATCCCCAACAAATATATTGAAGTGGCCTGCACATGAAGATCACAGAAGTGCGTTATTGTACCAATAGAACACCAAAAATATTGTCTTACCAAGACAATCAAGCATAAGAGTGTGAACCAACTTGATGTATCCTCCCTCTGGCCACTCGCATAAGCCCAGTTAACCTTGATAGGTTGCCCAAACCTGCACATTAATTAACCAATGTAATCTAATCCAAACCTTAAATAACAGAGTATCTTGTTCATGCTAAATTTACCAACGGCTAATAATCAAAGTCCATTAACTTACAAATGCCTTCCATTGAGAGAAAGGATTGCAAGACCAGCCGATCTTCGATCAAAGTAGTGGACAAACCCATAAGAAGACTGCCCGTTTTGAAATCAAAACATCAGGAAAATGTGTCAGTCATAGCAAATACCAAAAGCAAAAGTTTCTACATAAAAGATATAACATCCAGAAGATTATTACTAGAATGTTATAACAGTGTAACATAACACTAACCTTTTCTTTCCTAATTAGTTTACAGCTTTCTACAGGACCAGTGCTAGCAAAAACCTCTTGAAGAAGAGGTTCCGTCACCTGAATATGGATGTTTCCAACGTACCTGCAATTTCTCAAAGTTAAACAGACTAAAAATCTAAACAAGAAACAGAACAAAGAAACAAAAACAGAAAACAGCATGTCTACAAGTTCCTTCAACTTCAAGGAGAATCACCAATGAGGGTATAATAACAAACAATCACCTTTTCCACAAAATAGAAACAAGACTCTAGAGAAACGTTGTCAAATACCAACACTTGTGGCAAACTTATTCAATTGCGCAATAATTAACTATATATATACATAACTACAATGCAGTAGTGTTTCCCTGGACTAGCTTTGAGAGTGACAAACTGAAAACTTGAGCTCACTACTGAAACTTTTAAAGCCAAAAACACATAAAAAGTGAACAAAAATACCAAAAAAAGAAACCTAACACTCACACACTGCGGCAAGTACTTGGATCAAAACCAGGGGGGAGATTTCCACTTGGGATTGGTTCTATCTGCAAAAAGGAAAAAAAAATAGGAAGCGAAAGAAAATGAAAAAGAAAGAAATAAAGGAAAAAACTTTACTTCCTAAAGTCTCAGCAACTAAGCTAGGATACCAAATCAGTTTCATCTCAAAGATTTTCATGGAGTTGTTGAACCAAAAATCAGATAATAAGACAAACACTTTAAAAGAACTTTTAACGAATACACAAGAAGCAAGTCTATTAGTGATAATCCCATAAATTTCATAACTTTTTCTCGTTTGACAAATCACAAATGAAACAAAAACAAGAGAAACAAGTATCTTCAATCATAGAAAATGAAACCAAAAACCAAGAGTTTCTAATCCTGGACCTTGTAAAACAAAAGGGCAGTGAAATCGAGCTTGGAAAAAGACCCTAGAAACCCAAAATCGAGCATGGAAATGGAAGAAGAAACACAGAAGAATAGAGCAAACCTGTGGCGGGGCAAGGAGACCAGGATGGTAGAGAGACTGTTGCTGCATAAGAGCTTGCTGCATCATAACTTGTTGTTGTTGCTGCTGCTGCTTCAACCTCTGCATTTTCTCTCGGGGAAATTTTATTGTCTTTGTATTTACTTTTTGTTCCCAGGAAATGAAAATTGACACAGTGTTCTGTCTTTTAGGGTTCGAAAGTGTTTTCGGTGTTCGAGAAAAATGTAAGAGAAATGACAAAAATTAATAACCAAAAAAAAAACAAAAATGAAGAAGAACAGGAAAAAAGGAACTCTCTTGATAGAAAGCGAAGGAAGCAATCGAGTGGCTCTTACGAATTTATTGGATTTATTATTTTTACACATCGATAAGCTAAAGTCACAGGCTGTAAGAAATTTTTAAAAACAACAGCCAATGAAATCTTTCCACGTTAATTTTATGGCTCAGCCCAATCACTGTCCAAATCAGACACGCCTTCAATGAAATGAAACCTGACAAGTATTCACAATAAACATCCCCTGATTTATCTTAAACTTAAGATACACCCCTATAAAATAATTATTTTCACGAATTACACCCTAAATAAGTTAGAAAGGACCTCTGATCCACTTTCTACCATCTTTACCCGCGTTACGTTTGCAGTCAGATTCCTCGTCCTGTTATTCTGGTTTCTCCAGATTAATATACAACTCCTAAATATGTTCTTGATTAGAGACACTCTTGTCTAATTTGCTATTTCTCGTTTTTGTAATTTAACTCCCAAGTATGTACATAGTTAACTTATAATATAACTCTACTATTGGGTTTATGAATGAATATTCAAGTTAGATTAAGATTACAACCTCAGTAGAAAGCAAAAAATCACTTAGATAAGTCAGAAAAATCGAAACCTTAATCTAAAAACTTAGTGCCTAATAGAAATTTAGCAAATATATATTACTATAGCTTTAGATCGAGATCTTTCGAACTTTGGCCTTCTTCAATATCCATAATAACATCTTTATCACCATCTGATTTGTGTTGGGCCTCGGTTTGAGCAATGGCATTATCCGGCTGTCTTTGTGACGACTGTCCTGGCTCTAGTGGTTGACCGGCTACAGCCTCTGGCTTGGGAGGATAACAATGGTGACCCGCGTTTTGGTTAACTTGGTATGGAGCCCTAGCCACAGCTCTGCAACAGAAAATAATTACGTTACTAACGCGGCTGGTGAGATAAATTTAGGACAACTTGTAACAGAGAATCCTTAATCTTTTGAACATAGTAGCTAGAGTGATTGGAACATTAAAACATGTTCCAAAAAGTATGCTCAAGTTAAATACCTGTCTTTCCGTTTGGCAAAGAATCGATGAAGCGAAGCTCTACGTGCTATACGTTCCACGATCTGATTTTGTTCTTGTTGCTGCTGCTGTTGTTCCTTTGTAGGGTGATTATTATCAGTATCAGCAGAATCTGTAGGCTCATTGAGATCAGGGAGAACCATGTTGCTTTTGTTTTCGACATTGATTGGTGTCTGAAAGTTAATCTCAGTCAGAGGCTTGGCTTGTTTTGCTACTTCCATAATCTCTTTAGCTTTGTCTGCAGGGAACTCATTATATACTAAAACTTTCCCTCCAAAGAATATGGTCAGCTGCGAACTTCCTGGCTGTGATACACTGTAAACCAAAAACAGATTTCAGAACAAAAACCATTTTAAACCGGGATTAACCGATTATCATTTCTCTAATCTCCAATAACCAAACAAAAAAAACAACAATTTTTCCCAAGGAACAAAAGGAGACCTGAGGTCAGCAACATCTTTGACTTTGCCTCCAGATGACGCAGAGGGTTCGCCTTTGGAATGCCCTGCCTTCTGCATCGCATTTTGTTTCCCTGAATAAAGAGAATAAAAACTTTCGTGAACAAAATAATAACTTTTTTCCGAGAGATATCTTCTTTGGGATTTTTATGAACCATATCTCAATCAATATCAATATCAATTTATTCTTTAGTTTTGTTACTTGTCAGCATAACTACAAGGAGAAATTATTTCCGATTCTAAGGAACTGACTTACAAGTGAAGAAACAGAACAAAAGTAGTAAATCTGACAAAAGCAAAAAAAAAAACAGAACTGAATTTTAACTATTACCAAGTGGCGGCCGTGAGAGAGGAAGAGATGATAAAGTACCTGGTGGATCGGATGTTCCGAGCGACCCGAGATTGGAATGGGGTTTTCGGAGCAAGCCAAGATCTATGTTTCCGAAACTACCCTTCTCCTTCAAGTAACGGCTGAGCAAACTACATCTCCTGGTAAAGTCGGATTTCTCCGGCGCTTGTGCCTTAGCATTTTCGTTTTTCGACATGTTGTTGTTTATGAGAAGAAAGAATTCTCCACACTTCTTTTTAAAGATATTCTTATCTCTTCTTTTCAATTTTTTTTTCTCTTTTTTTTGTGCGTGGATGGATTGCGCGTAAAATGGAAGAGTACAAGAAGCTATAGCTAGCTCATGTGTGTTTATAAACTCGTTCAACCAATACGTTTGTGTGACTTAAATAGCCTCCCATAAATTAATGAAAATAGAAATATATAAACAGGAGTTTTTTTATTTTTATTTTTAACTTTCAAATTTCAATATACTATTACCAAAATATAAATAAAATTCGCATTTTTTTACAGCAATTTGCAAATATTCAAACATTTATGGTATTTCGATTTCTTTCAGTATAAATTATTATCAATAACAATTAAATAAAAGTTCTTACATAAAGCCATTAGATTATTGTTAAAAAAGAAAAGCCAATAGATTATATCAAATTTACAAATATTCCATCGCATGACAGTTTTCACTAAGTATAGTATATCATATACTGTATATGTAGTGTGAAGAAAGGAATTTTTCATCCATGATTAATATTAAGACAATTGATGTTAATAATTCATCATTATGGAAGTAATTTGTTTATTGTTTTATAAGTTGATACAACAAATTTATTGCCCTGTCTTATCATAAAAATATGTTCACCACTTTTTTTCTTGTTTGGTACAGTTTAATTGTCTACCATCGACGGCCAGATTTCAAAATTGGACTACAAATTTTACGATTTTCGGTTAGAATTACCCGCACGTTTTCCTTACGCGTAAAGAGAAAAATAATTACGAATTCAGAACCGACGGCAAACGTTATTTAACGGCGTTAACTACTAGTATGTCACAAATTTGTAAAGGACTCAAAGTTTGGTCGTATTTACAAAAGTTTGCCTTTCTACAAGATGACAAGACCACATTACCAACTCTGATGGTGGCATCAATGTAAATAAACAAAGTTCATGGCCTTTTCAGACATACATGAACACGACGTTCCTCACGTTAGTTAACAAACTTAACGGCGATACGAATTGAACGAATAGTGTGTGGACCAATGTGGGATCCTACCATCGAACCCCTACGAAGTTTCATGTGCCATAAAAATTCAAAGTCTTCGATACGATCCGACACAAGTTTTTGATTAAAACACGTGGTTAAATAAAACAAATCGTTAAGATTGTGACACGTATCGTAATCTGTACGGCGCACTAGAAACAGTATCGTGTGAATCGCGTTTTTCCCACTTTCCTATAGAAAGAAAAAGGGAAAATATTGAGATAACCTAATCAGTTTGGTCAAAAATATAATTGATGGATCAATTGACCGAACTGCCCCTTTCACGGATGCCATAATAATCAATACGTTCGTTGGTTGCTTCAACATTACGACTCGTTCAAATAAACGTGTTGGGGAAAAATGATATACTACTACTAAAAAGAATAAAAAGTTTAGATGTGACTTAATTTAATAAGTGTTGTTGTCTTGTTGATGGGACTAAATGAAGTGGGATTAGGACAAACCAAGCGATGGGCCAATTGATCGAACCAAAAATTGTCAAGCCGTGACTCGTTATCCCTACTCCACTATTTGCAACTGTTGCCCAGACCAAGTGGCTGGTGTGTTTTGGTAGGATAAAAAACGTTGGAAACAAAAAATGGTAACGAATGGTCCTTTTTAAAGTGATATATACTCTTGGTTTTGGACTCTTGGTATTAAAAATGAAATTTTTTTTTTTTGATATTTCTTTACATCTAAACCCAAACGTCACAGATGCTCTATACGCTAGTATTTGACCCGTTTCAGCCTCTCATTAAACAATCCACATTTTTTTCCGAATTTATGGTCATATTCCAACACTATAGTCAATACACTAAACTTAAGATTTTTCTCCTTCTTCTCTGTAAGATTGTCTTATGTTTGTATCATTAATAATTTAATACTCTATTGGAGAATCTAGCATTTCCCCGGATCTCTCTATGTTACGAGTTACATTCAACTTACAACTAGGTCTAAACTTTCGGTTTTTCGGTTCGCTTTAGATTTTTCAGGTTTTGGGTTTTTCGGATTTCAGAAACATGTCTAAATTATTTGTGTTCTGATCCTGTTGAGATTTGGATACATTGTAAAGATAAATCATTTATAGTTACTATTGTATATTTTTAACTATTATTAATCTTTCAGTCTATTTGGTTTTTTTTCGGCTCAAAGATACAAAAATGAATGTCATGAATAGGACAGATAAAGAATGTCACTGAATTACCCCTTTTTAATAGAAAAAGGAAATAGTCGAATGGGCTTGGCGGAAACTGCACATTGATTTTGGGCCAACAACAACCCATATTTAAAGTTACAGTTCATCATGAAGGCACTTTTCGTCTTTTATCCATTTTAGTTTTAAACTTTCAAAAAAGCTACGAAAAAACAAAAATATTTCTTTGAAATGTTCGACATTCGTTAGGCACTAACATTAAATTTGAACTTTCCAAACGCGGATTAATATCCTACTCTATGTTCTTGAATAAAATTTTCCGGAAAAGAATAATCTATCTTGTAAAAATTAATATATTAATTGATCATGTAATACCCAAATTTTTTTTAAAAAAAAAATTATACAAAGCTAGGAAAAGCTATATTCCAATGTCTTTATTTATATAATCATACATGAAGGAGAAACGAGAGAGAAGGATATTAAGAGTTGACTTGTCTCTTACAGCAAAAAGTGAACCAAAGGCACAAAGAAATGTAACAAAGAAGAATCTATATAAGCTGAGGTTATCCACCTTAAAATTACACAAATCACACGCACACATGTACGCAATTTCAAGAACATGTTTTGGTTCTATGGACCCAAATTCCCACAGATCAAATCATGCAAAAAAAGAAGTTAACAAACATTCTGAAATTCCATGGCTTAACTTGCATATGCACCAAAAATTTCCCCAGAAAATGGGAGAATGGGAGACTCATTACATTATTTCTTTAAATTTTCTCGAGAAGATTTTGAATCTGCATAAAAGGAAAGAATATCTTGCATGAGTTCGTAAAAAGTAAAAAAAAATTAGAAACTTAAAAGATTATATTGTTTTCTCTTAATTACCCTGTATTTGGAAAAGATTTTGCAAGAGCTTGAATGATGAAGGTTTGATCAGATCTCAAGAACTATGACTGTAATCAAAAGAAGATCGAATTAGTTGTTTGTTTTTTTTGAGTTTTACTAAAATAATAAGGATCTGATGAAAACTCACAATCAGAATCTGTTTTGACCCATTTATATCCGTCGCTACTACTACTTCTTTCGCTAGTTTCTTCTTCTTCTTCACTCTTCAATGAGAGCTGTTTCTTGTCTTCCAAGTATCTCTTTGTTGTCGATGATGTTGGTTTCGAGGAGGCTTGAGCATTAATCTTCTTATGGAGCATCATCTTCAACAACTGTAAATTGATTTTGATCAGAGGTAGATATTGAAAAATACATTTAAACTACAAATTTCAAATTCGTTCTCTGTTGTTTACCTTCTCCATTCTTGATTCTTGAAGCGTGTCTCTCAGGCTAGGGCTTGGGGCTGTAGAAATCCCATTTGCGCAGACAAAAATCTTCTTGAAAAGATATGAGACAGAGGTCTTGCTTATGTCTCTCTTCTTCTTATTCTTCTTACTCTCTATTGATATCTCTTTGCATCTACCTAGAATAACGCTAATCGTTCGCTCCATATCTTCCTCCTTATTCTCCTCAGACGAATCCACAACAGCACTAAGCGCATTGCTGATTCTCCTATCGACCTCTAAACTTGATGGACAGTTCAAGAATCTATCCAAAGGAAGATTTTTCATGAGCTCTCTATTCACATCAGATTTCCTTTTCTTAGTTCTTGACAAGAGTTTCATCAACTCCTTCTGCAACTTTCCAACCTCCTCAGGAGTGAAATCTTCAAGATCGACAGAAGAAGAAGGCTCTTCTTCCTGCTCGGATTTTGCGGCACACTTCTTCTCCGCTTCAATCTCTTCATGAACATTCTTGCTCTCGTTTTCGCTCACACTATTGCTTGTTGTACCAAACGTTCCAATAGCGAGCAACGCGTGAGGCCAGTCGCTAAACTCCTCTCTTGGCTCTTGCTTCACATGATCTAATGGCAAGATTCAAGACAACGAAATAATTTCAGATCAAAGACAAGAATTAATCTTGTCAAAATAAAGGTACCACAAACGAGATCTAATAAAAGCAAATTTTACGAGACAAGAATCTTGGGGCATTGCTTACACATATCCCTAGTAGACAATATAATCTTGAAGTTAAGATTTTATGAAAGTAAAAAAACTTACGAGAAGAAGCAGAGGAAGTGCTTGTTCTGTTATGATCCCCATTAAGCTTGTTCTGCATCCACCCGAAGAACTGAAAACAAAAGCCAAAAGAAAACACTTCAGAAATCATCAGAGGAATAAAAAAATCATTGAAACCTATATATATCATATATATAATCGTGCTAAATACAAAGGATCAGAAAACTAACCTTCATGTTTTCTATGTTTTTTTTTGACAATTGTCTGTAACAGAGAGATCAATTAATGTATATATGTCTGACTTCGAGTTATTGATGAATCAAGATTGGTTTATTATAGAGATAGAAAGATTAGATTTTTAGACAAGTTGGAGTAAAATTGATGAATTTGATGGTGTTCAAGTTCCAAACTTTGACTACTTAGCTTAAAAGAGAGAATTCTAAGTAAGAAAAAAACTTTTAAACTGTTCTTGTAATCTTGTGTTCAGATGTTATCTCACAGTTGCTTCTTTATACAACTCACAAACTCACATTAATGCACACATCCCTACGTAACCAACGAGACCACCAACATTCTTCTATGGCCCATAGATTCATTTGTATTAAACATTAAAAATTAACCTCCAAAAAACTTAGTTAATTATTATTAACCCATGTATTGGAGAGAACGTCACGGCTTTGATCTCGGCTCATACACCGTGGAGCCACCTTAACGATATATGGACTAAAGTTCGATCTGTTTTACTAGTCGAAGTTCTAAGAACGAGAAATTGAATCCCTAGAAATGCATTACATTCAATGGTTACTATGGTGACACACGGAGAGGGTTCTCATAAATTTTGTTAATTACATATAACACGACATATATAATATGAACTTGTTGTGACTAGTATTCACATTTCTGACTCTCTTTTTTTTCGTGATCCGGTATATGAGTAATAGACGTGTGTTTCTAGGCACATTCCTATTCCAGCTTTAGTATGGGCATATGCAAAATAATAAAAGAAAAAATATCATAATTACCGAAAGTTGTATTTCAAAATAAACCATTTTTTTTTCTTGTGACGAATTAAGGAAATTCACTTCTTTAAAATTACTATTTTTATTTTTATAACCATTTCCGGAAGATATATATATGTATTTAAGGCCTTTCTTAATTAGTTCTCACTTTTATTTCATCCGGTCAGATATCAATTAGTAACACATTTTGTTGTCAATCAAGTGAATCAAAATTTTGTTTATTTGCTATCTGATTCTGATCCCAAAATTCGTAAATGTATATACTTTTCTGTTTATTCGGATTTATAAGGCTCATAAATTATATAGTTGATTTACATTCTAATATCAGTTCTTAAATTTATTTTAAGAATTCCTTATTTACATATTCGGTTTGGAGAATTCATTTAACCTAGACGGATAAATTTTGTGTCAACTCAATGTCAAACTCATAACATACAAACTAAACGTCAAACATAGTAGAATAGAGACAAGCCGGTTAAATCCAAGTTTAGGAAGATCGATACTATGCAAATGTATTATTGCTCGCCAATTATGTATCCACTATAGTCTTAGATAATATGGGAAAAACTATTAAAATTGTAAATATTAAAATAGCAGATATGTTCTTTTCAAAGAATGCATAGAAAATCCAAAGGAAAAGAGTCGGAAAGAAAGAGCGAACAAAATAACGAAAATCCACGAAAAAGATCTCGTGTCGATGTCCCCTTAAGTCCTTAACCCTTCTACATATAATATAAGAGCATGTACACTATAGTTTTTTAATATCGTACTTACATAAGAAATAAATAAATCATACTTAGCTAATCGCCTTTCAAATTTGCATGAATTTAAAAACTTTAACGTAAAAATAAACAATGAAACATTGAGTTCTTTTTAAATCTCGAATTATTGACTTCTTTTCTACTCTCGAATTATCTAGATTATGAGATCTAGGTGTAACTTTAGACGTATTAAATTATAGTACATTTTTACGTAGTGAAAAAGGAGTTTAGAAGTAGTAGACAATAAACAGAAGACAGTAGACACTAGACAGATGGAAAGTGAAATATTATAATAAAAGCTAAACCACTGAACGCTTTTTCGCTTATGAAGGAAACGTGGTGGGCCCTAAACCATACCACTCCAAGTCACGTACAGTATCCAATCAAAGGTCGCCACGTCAAATATAGGTAAATGGTAAAATTAATAGAAGAATTCATATGTACACGTGTCTGAGAACAGAGGCTATTTTGGCAATCTTCTGTCGGTCCAACCCTTTACCCAAAGAGGTCGGGTTGACTTTCAAAGGCCATTACCATATTTTTAGATGAGAGATTAGAAAATCTATAATACTAGTTTTTTAAAATTAGTGTCTATATGGATTATCTATCTATTAGACAAGTATCACTGATTCACTATCAAATAACGCAACAAATCAAAGAGATTCAGATTCTCTTAAGGAGTTTCGGATTTGATTATTTCTTCTACTATTACTTGTAATCTGCAAATTTAAACATATGAATAAACTTTAAGATATGTTGAACCTAAGGTATAACTAGAAACTACATTTTGATAGTCGAATCGAATGGTTAAGAAGCACAGTTTTTAACGGTTTCAAAGGGGTTGTCTTGGAAAGAAATCGCATTCCAATGTATTTTTTTTTTGGACTATTAATATGCTAGTATGTAGTAAGCAAAAATATGTGTTTAAATTGGTATATTGATTGCATACATTGCGTGATGGCGATATGTTTAAACGGAGTTGCCTCATGCACTAATAATATGTATATAGACTAGGTCATATTTAGTTAATTAACAGTTAATGTATTTGAAACTCTCATATCGTTTAGGACCGACATAATTTTTATCTGGAGAGTGGATTCTGATACCAGATATTAATTATATAGAGTTTCAATTTGTAATCAATATATATATATATATATATGACTGATAATAATGCAATATCCATAGTAAAAATTCATCCCATTCCCACCTCTATATGGATCAGTCAAAGTCTTTCAACTTGCTTAACAGATATGTAAGTAAAAAAAAAAATGAATAATCAAACTCCAATAGAATTGCATGTTACCGAATGAAGTAACATCATTGGATAGCAAACAATTTCTTGGTCTCCATGAAACTTTTGTCTTTTACTCCAACTTGCTCTCCCATCTTTTTTTTTTCCTGACTAGTATCTTAAACTTAACCATTTGATAATTACTTACAAGTATCTTTAACAAAATCGAGACTAACTAAATGTAAAGTTAAACATTAATCAGAATGTTTGTAGCGACAAAACACTGACACGCACACACAATTGATTTAAAAATTTACTTATTTAAGAATAAGTGGGGACATTGGGACATGAATTAAGATTAGGGACCACCTTAAACAGTGATTAATATGTGGTTCATACAATTAATACGTTGCCTAAACTCTTGTGAACTGTCATTTAACCCAGAATCTAGGGAGTTCTTAAGTTGTCTTTGTGATTTTCAAACAGTACACGTGTACTGTTAAGCATCTAAATTCTTTTATTTTACTCTTATGTACTTCTTTTAGGTGGCTGGAAATAATATATAAAATGATATTTATCCTGTTGTTAATAGATGCTCAATCGTCACGCAATTCGTCAGAATTGACTTATATCATAATTAGTTAAGTACCAACAAGCAATTAAGAATAAATTAAGATCCTTCGAATTAAATAGATACCATGTTGTTAAACCGACTATGTAAGAAAATTCAAATCTAACCGAACCAGATTGGTATTACTGTAAAACATATATTCCCTCCGTATTTTAATAATTGTCGTTTTAGAAATTTTATTTTTTTGAATTGGATGTCGTTTTCAAATTTCTATGCAAAATTTATTACTTTTTAATGTTTTATGACATCATAAAACATTAAAAAGTAAGAAATTTTGCATTGAAATTTGAAAACGACATCTAATTCAAAAAAATAAAAATTCTAAAACGACAATTATTAAAATACGGAGGGAGTATAAATTAATAATATCAGAAACTGTGGTATTTTAGTAATTTATAGAATTATTAATTTATTATTAATAGATTAATTTTTAGAATTAAATTTTCAATCATTTCTTACAATAAAAAAACTTCTACTTTAAAATGTACGAAGAATACGAATTTGGACAATCTAGATTATATAATGACATTATTGTGATACTATCATTTTGCAATCTCTGTTTGGACAAGTAGATTTAAGAAACGGCAATAACAAACTGCATTCGATACTACAACATTTGTTTTGGTGATGCAATGTTAAAGAATTTATATGAATTTACTTGTGAAGATGACATTTATCATTTGAGGTAATGATTAGTGATCTGATCAATTAACGTAAGAAAATAGATATTAGTTGTCTCTTATTACACCATCCAAATGAAAATGATATATATGTTCAGAGATTAGAAGAAATTGTAATCATTGACTACAAAGGTAGATTATGAATTAAAAGACAATGATATAGTACATTGGGGATCAATAAGATTGATAAAAGTAATTATAGTGTCTAAAAATATTTACAAATCTAAGCATTTTGAAAACATAATACCATAAAATGTACAATGTGATAAAAATAAGGAAATTTCAAATGAGAGAAGAAAACAACACTAGAATCATCATATAATTATCTTAGTTATATTTCTGAAAAAATTATAGAATTATTAATTTATGATCTTTTTTGAGAATTTGTATATGAGTTTTCTATATTATTATCTTTTCGAATGGTGTTAATTATTACATTGGCCTACATCGACACTAAATTTATAATATTTATCAATTTATCGAATATTTTTTTATAGAGGTTTTACAATATTCACTCAGGGCATTTATTACTAGCTCTAATCTGGTTTGCAATGTGGTTTAGATGTAGATTATACATATTTAGTATTGTTGGTTTGTATTGAAAGTATAGTGTCTAGATTCATTTGATCATTGTACATTGGTACAGATATAAACCGGTCTAAGATTTTCTGTTTCTGGTTAAGGGCTCCGGTTTACCCAAGGTCGAGTCTGTATCGTATCACCATGTACATTTCTAATAATTAGTGAAAGTAAGGGGGTGTTATTACACTGTTTCAGTCAAACGCATATCAGCTAACTAAATTTTCCAATGATGAATACGAACCGGTAATGTATTGGCCATTTCCTACTCGTCACTCTGGTCGTCAATTACAACAAAGAGGGTTTAGTTTATTATTAAAGAGCGCGGGAAAGAGAGAAAAAAACTTCGAGATCACAAATTC